TTAGCCAGGTTATTTGATCAGCACAATTACTTCCATGTCCGGCGTTGCCTCGGGCCGTGGCTAAATCTTTGCATGATTCTGTTTTCCCAGTACCTGCTGGTCCTTATGGTGCTGCACCTAATTTGATTCCCAAAGCTCCTGTAATAGTCATCCAACATCTATCAGTTAAAGGTGTAATAACCAATCTTGTAGTTGATCCCAAAAACTCGTAACCATACATTAATTTAGCATTCACTTATTTCGCATGCACGCTTTCCTCATCATGATAAAATCTCAATTATTATTACCATTTGAAATCCATGATACCTTCCACAGATTCATTTCTCATGTTATCCACAATATCTCTGAAATGGACATCTTAAGTGACCAAAGCCACAAGAGTTCTTCTTTATAATTCGGTAAGATTTCCTCTGATTAATAATGTCAATTCATCAAGCATTGCTACATTAGCATCATACCAATCATCCAAATCTCCTTCTGCATCTGCTTATAAATAATTTTCTTCTGTTATTTTAGTCCAAAATATAGAATCAATAGTAATAATGATTTAAAGTGGGAATTCAAATACCCAATCTTTTCTTTATGTATCCTCTAATTAATATTTAATTAAAGACTATCTCATGACTCCACTAAGAGAAGATTTCATTTTGTCTTCTAGAGCTTTTAACCAATCTTCCACCTCCCCTCTTGCTGAATATCCTTTGAGTACTGCAATTTCCCCTTCAGCAGATATCATTCCAATAGCATTTTCTTAAGAATCGAATTAAATTTTGACTAAATTTTCAAAGCACTTTCTTAAATATGGTTAAATGGCTTAAATATTTTTTGCATTTGACAATATTTCTAAAAGTTCATCATTTGATAAAAAGTAAAATCTCTAAAACACATCTCTTTTCTTTTCTAAGAATTCATCTAAAGCCTTTTAAATAACATCAAAATTGTTGTTATTTTATCTCAATTGATTGAAATACAATCTATTTTAATAATCATCTGCCCATTTTCTAGCAATACTGCTATCCCTAGCATTTCTCATTAATTTTTTCCATTGAGTATCAGCTTATTAGAAAATCTTGGATTCCTTAGCCAAATTCTTAGCACTATATGGTGAATTCAAAATAGGTTCCAAATATAACCAATTTCTTTGATGTAACATCCACTCATCAAATAACTCCTAGAAGTATCTTAATAATTATTGTTGTCTTTCTACATCAGATCTAATGCCTTCTACAAATCTTGATGCTAGAATATTATTGACGGTCAATAAAGTGTCATCAATTTTAGAAATCAAATCTTCATTATTTCCTAGAATAAAAACGTCTTTTGATTCTCTATATGGTTGCACAGTAATAACAGCTGATCTCCAGATAGATTCAACCTATTCTAGCATTTTAACTAATTCTATTTCTTTTGCTGCTCTTAATGCAATTTCACTTAACTTATCTTTTACTTAATCTAACCCAGCTTGAGTAATCCATAAAACATTGTATTTTGGATCATTTATTGGTGTGAATGGTTCTAGAATAGGTTCCTTGAATAACTATTAACTTTCAAGTATCAGTGCTCTTATCTGATTCCATTACTTCTCTGAAATTGCAGGATCTTTAAGTGCTTATAGAACCTAATAGACTCCTCTGAAACCTTCAATGTCTGACTTAAATACTCTTGCTACTTCATTTTTATCTAACTCTTTGGCACATAAATTTGCTGCCTTCTATAATTTTTCCATTAGATTGTTCATATCATCTAAATTGATATCTGTATAATGTTATTTTAACCAAACTGAATAATTTGAAATCCATTCATTTCTTCCACACCAAAGTCTCTCTAATAAAGTGAATTCACCATTGAATGTTTCCAATTTCTCAAATGGTGTATATTCCATATTTAATGCTATCTAATAATCATTCAACTTTTTTGCATGAACTTTTAATTCATCCACTTGTTTTCTTACTCCTTAAACGAATGTAACCATGTCACTCAAATCTGCTGCTAAAGAACTCAAAGGTTATTCTGAAACTCTTTCATTCAAATCTTTAACTGTACTGTCTACCTATGGAATCATTCTCTCCATATCTTTTCTAAATTTATTTAAGTTTTAATCATAATTAGCCATGGCATCATCCACTTTTTTACGAAGTTGACTAACTTATTGATTGCATTCTGCAAATTTTTATTTGTGTTTATCCTAAATTTTAATACGCAATTCATCCATTAGCAAAGCCATAGCTGTGACTTCTTATGATACATTGCTTAAATCTTCAAATTGATTGTTAATGACATTCACTGCCTCCATATAATTGACAAATTGTTCCACAGTGATTGGTGATATTGCTATGGTTGAATATAACTATGCTGTTTTTTGTGTAAAGATTACTGCTTTCTTGTAAATATATTCAGGGATAAATTTCTATAATTCCTAAATGCAATTCATAGCACTGGATTTAATCTTGGCTTTCAATTTTTGATTATCAAATAATATCATACCAATCTCTTATGTAGGTTCTATATCTTAAAATTATTGATCTTGATCCTTATACTAATTAATGGCATTTCTATATTCTTCAACTTCCTTATCAGCAAACTACTTTTCAATATTGACTCCTGTATTCTCAACATACCATTTCATGAATGGTTTCAATTTTTCAGCATATTGTTCTAAATAATCAAATGCAATCTCCAATTCTTTCCTCATTTGGCCACATAAAATTTGGAAATTCTCGCTTCCATTTATAATTGCCTTGACATCCACTTTTTCTGATTGTTGATTGCTTTCATCTTGAATATACTATTATAATTCTGGCATAGACAGCATTTCTCTATGTCTGGTTGTGATACGAATAACACTATTGGTAACAACACTTTCAAATATTCTGAATAATTATTCTCTAACTGGATTAAAAACGATATCTTCCTATTTTCCAACTGCCTCAATAATGATCCAACATTAGGGTTAGCCTTTACCATAATATCCTTTCCTTTTCACTCCTGAACTCTCCTTATATTATTCGTTGAAATCACGAATCTATTTAACAATGTGTTCCACTGAATTTTGCATCATCTATAATTTAGCATCTATGATAATGTAATCCACATATTTCACAAACTTTCTTAATCTTTTATAATGAGTTCTTATTGTGGCTTCAGTTGTGTATGGCATGTCTTTTCCTGATTCATCTCCAACTAATAATGGTGCTCTCTCTTCATTATCATCTTCATGAAGTGGAATACGATGAATTTCCTTAAAATTGACTAACGATTTCTAACAGCATTCTACTATTATTTATTTAATCTATTGTTCATATGCATCAAATTTGATATCCATGATTGACATTAAGTGTTTATCTTACAACTATTTAAAATTTTCATGGGTCTAAGGAACTGTAGTTGAAGTATCTAAGAATCTTATGTCTTATGCCATTTATTAACATATCCTACGAACTTCTAATAATGTGATTCTTAATTGTTTGTCAGTTGAGAACATGTTAGAAATCATTAGATCCTGGTTTTTGGCAAGAATGTTCTTCCTCATTAATCTCTTCCACAAGAAGAAGTTCTTCCATAATTTGTATTTTCTAAAAAAATCTATTTTCTAAAGATCTTAATATAATTTAGCTTCTCTTTGCCACTCTTCAATTGTTAAAAATGTAATCTCATCATTTTGGAAATATGTGATTCCCCTTGCACTAATAGTCATGTATTCCTTTGGGTTTCTATCTTCGAATTCCACTATTTAATAATCATAGGCATGATCTCTTTTATTTAAATAACAGAACTCATCTGCCATTTCTGGATCAGTTCTTATCAAATAAATAAAATCCATAGGTGACAAGTAGGATTACTATTGCTGTTTCTTCTTAGGTTTTCTGAGTGCCTTCTTAATCATCTGGGTCTCCTTCTTTTTTTCAGGTTGTTACAGCAATCCGATGATAGAATCATTAATGGTCGAATTAGGGTTTTGTACATCCTCTAAAATGCTCATTCCGTGATCGCTTAATAATCTATGACCAAGTGGCGATAAATTCTTGGGTTTCTTGAGCTGATCTTGTATTAGAATGTCACTTCTAAGGTCTTTATTTATTAAATCATCATTTACTTTTTGTAGATTGATGTCCTCAGCGATCAAAGAAAAATTTGCCATTCTGTATGGTTCCCCTAAGGCTGAGTGAGTTTAGGTTGTGGGCTCTAATCTTTACTTAGAAACCTTAGGCACCAAAGAAGGCAAGGAGATTACCGAGAGCTATTAAGTGAGTTTTCGTTCATTAGGATCATAACGATTAATGTTTTTATAAAGCCGTCCTTTGAGCTACCCTTGTGAAAGTTGTTCAAAATTGAAACGTTTATTATTGTCACTATCCATAATAAATAATTAATATATGGACACCGATTTATAAATATTTAAATATGTTAATATTAATAGAGACTCCAGCTGGATTCGCCCTATTCCAAGTTGCTAATACCAAGGCCCTCAATAAAATAGACAACATCTATGATTATTTGTAGAATGAAAAGCAAGCTAAAAAATTGTAAGCATTCCATAGATACATTAACCAGGGTCACACCTTTTGCTTTCCAATAATTCAAAGATACCTAAGAAGCTCTCGTGGCTACCAGCAAGTTGATCAATGGAAAAATCCCAAAGAAACTCAGTAAATTCCTGGAGAAGAATGTAATCTCGCAAGAAATACAGGATTAAATAGCAGGTACAGTCAATTTATTAAACAACAGTCCAAGACAAAAAACTGGCCAAATAACTTCAAGAATAATTAGGATTAAGTTGCATCCAAACTCCTGTGACTGAGCAGTTATTCAGAGGAATTAGATCCTAATTAACTAACCTAATCGAAGGACTGAGTGAATCAGAACTTAAGAATATGACTCTTGGTTTAGCACATGGATTATCGAGATATAAACTCAAGTTCTCTACTGAGAAAGTTGATACCATGATTATCTAAGCAATTGCTTTGCTTGATGATTTGGACAAAGAAATTAATAACTATATGATGAGATTGAGAGAATGGTTTGGATGGCATTTTCCAGAACTTGGCAAAATCATAACAGACAATTTAATATATGCGAAAGTAGTCAAAGCCATTGGAATGAGAATAAAGACCAGTTCTACAGATCTCTCTGGTATTTTACCTGACAATCTGGAAGCAGATGTTAAATAAGCAGCGGAAGTATCATTTGGTACAGAAATCACAGTAGAGGATGAAAAATTCATTCTATGTCTTGCGGATCAAGTCATTGAACTAACTGATTATAGATCTTAATTATCTGAATATCTAAAGAATAGAATGCAAGCTATTGCTCCTAATCTCACTACAATGGTAGGTGAATTAGTAGGTGCTCGATTGATTTCACATGCAGGCTCACTCGTAAACTTAGCAAAATATCCAGCTTCTACAGTTTAAATTTTGGGAGCTGAAAAAGCATTATTTAAGGCTATTAGAACTAAGCATAATACTCCTAAATATGGTTTGATCTTCTAAGCTAGTTTAGTAGGAAGTGCTCCTGCTAAATTGAAAGGAAAGGTCTCTAGAACATTAGCTGCAAAAACAGCCTTATGTATTAGATATGATGCTTTAGGTATTAATAAGTAATTCAATTATTATAGGAGAGGGATAAGATGCTGAATTCGGAATTACTAATAAATCATTCTTAGAGAAAAGAGTTCATCAATTGGAAGAGGGAGTTAACTATAGAGATGTGAAAGCCCCTTAAAGAGGAAAAGCTAAACCCATATAATCTCAAACATAATATCAAGAAGAGGCTGATTTTTAACCATAAGGTGCTGGTTGGATGCAAAAATTTCAAAAGGGGGAAGACAAAAGACAAGCTACCCAAGAAATTGTATAAAGAACTTAACAGAAAAAGGTGAAATAATAATGAAAGTACATATTAATCAACGAACTTCATCATTTAAGACATCTGAATCTTCATGAAAGTAAATGTTACTCTAAGCAATTCTACTTGAACTTTCTTCAATTATTTACTGTAATACAGGATTGGGATTTAAGGATCCTCTGTATTATAGTTATTACTCTAAGACTCTCTGATCTACAATACTCAGCAAATATTTAATTTTATCTTCTGCTATTTTCAATTCTTGTTCATATTTTTATTTAATTGCTCTCTTCTCATTCTCAATTTATATCAATCTTTAATTTTCACTATGTTAGGAATTAATTCGTGATTTATTGTATACATCCCTCTTTAAATTAGCTATTTCAATCAATAATGTATTAATCTATCCCTCATAATTAGCTTTCATATTTGCCTTCTTTTGCACATCCTCTTATAATTCCAAACATCTTTAATGTAACATAGTCATTTCTATGTTTTATTTATGCATATCATCTTGCAATTATTTATATGATCTTTCTAATAAACTCTAAGAAGTTGCTGGAATCAATTAACCATTTTGTATCTATTATGTCAATTAATCCAACGTATTAGTCTTCTCGTAGAGTTATCTTTCTAATTATTGCAATTTAATTTACTAATCTTACATTTTGATGTTCTTATCAATAAGCATAGAATTCATTTTCTCTGTTTCTATATTGTGTCTCTGTAATTTCAATTTATCTATTTCATTTTATTTAGCTTCCAATAGATTGTTTAGAGTGGCCACTTAATTTTCCATCTACACAATTGAAGTGGCCACAGTCTCCTTAATTTATCTCTGTAAATTCACCCTTTCTATTTAAATTTGTTATGCATATTTTTCCTCTGATATTCTAATTGTATTTTCATTGATTAATCGTTATGTATCTATTTGAGCCTATAGTGATTCAATTTCTTCCAATTTTTAATTAAAAATGTTCATATAATTTACTCTAATTGTTTCAATATCATTTTCTAGAATCTCGCTCTTTTATCTATATTGATCTGCCTCTCTAAATCGTTCCTTCAATTCTTCTAATTCTTTATTCTTTTCATTTAAAAAGTGAAGTGCTTCCAACTTTTCAGATTTAATCTGTTTTATAAAGCTATCTAAATGAAAGCATTTCTATCTTTCCTCCTATAATTCTTAAATCTTAGTCATCACTTACTACCTACTGCTTTCACAATCCTATGCTTTTTGCATTAAGAGTTAATTCAATTTTTCTATTTCTCCTACCAATTATTCCATCTTCTCCTCGTATCCCTTTATTGTGATGAATTGAACTCTATTGTATTTACTTCTTAAGTCTTCAACTTCAATTGCTTTTTATTTTAAATTTTCTGCTAGATCTTCAAATTATTGATTTTAAGATCCAATATGTGCTTGAAGCTCTTTTATCTTTTACTCTAATCCTAAACTCTTGAGTCTCCATTCTTCACATTCTATACTCTTCTATTATAGGGTTTAAGAGGATCTCTCTAATTCACTTGTCAACATTTCTATTCGATATTCTACTTCCACTTAATCTGATTATTGCATGTGTCTGTTAAATAAAATTATAAATATAAATCAAAATTGTATTTACAAAATATATCACCCCTACAATGGAGGTAGTTAAATACTTTAAGTCAACATTTTCCTTACTTCCTTCAAGGCCAAACGAACATCTTCAGCTTTTTTCATAACAATCGATTTCAAAATTGGACCTAATTCAGCCAAGGCAGTATCATTTTAATCGCTGTACCAAGTCTTTATGAATATTCCATTTTCAGGTTGATTTTAAAAATTGTCAGGAACATTATCCACTATTATACATTTTGAAAGATCTCTTCCCAATCTGGAAAGATCTTTTATAAATTAATTAGAATATTGCAATGCATGCTGTCTAAATAACCGATATGATATGTTCTTGTTTTTATCAACCTGATCTAAAACCCAATTTGCATAATCTGGTAAACCTGCTGTGAATACAACTAACTCATAAAATTAGCTCATTTCTTATAAGAATTGATGAGTAAAAGGACGAATTAAAAAGTGTCCTGTCTAATCAGTAAAATGTATTAGAGTTTCATCCATATCTAAAACCAGAGTATATGTTTTCTGGTTTGCATAAGGAAGGTAGGGCTAAGGAGCTACACAAATCAAAGGTATTCCCAATAACCCCTAATAGCTTTGTTAGATTGTGAAGTAAAATGAAATGAATTCTTGTAGATTTCGTAATGATTCCTTTATTGTATAATTTTATATACTCCTGAGGAAGATAATTAAAAATTAATAGAGGTCTCTCTACCCTTTGGTTAGTGATTTATAGAGATTTTGTAACAATTCTATATTTTATTTAATGTAGGTCCAATATTCATGCTTTTTAGAAATATTGTTTTTCTTGTTTATGTTAAATTATAATTAGGAATACAACTACAAATACAGGGGGTATTCAGGCTTATCTTTTAGTTTTTCTAATAAAATATCAGAGAGGTGACTTAAATTTTAGATATTGTAGAGTAATATATTCTTAATATTACTAATACTACTTAAATAGAAATGTAGATCAAAAAAACAATTCACCAAAACAACAATCTAAAATATAAATAGAATTACTCCAACTCGTAAAATTAAAAATATTTATCTAATTTACTTGACGTGTTCTTGTAGTAATTCTTCCAGATATTAAAATCCAGTATCTTCAGTCAATTCCATGTATTGGTTGATTTAATTTATTAGTTCTAGAGTAGTATTCTTACTTTATTAGTTTCAAACTCTTACTTTTTTCATTGAATTCAAGAGGGAATACATGATTTCATAAATTTTAATAAGGATTCTAAGATTTTCTGCTAATGTTTCCTCAGCGTGATGCATAGGTTCTAAGGTTGCGAAAGCTTAAGTTAAATGATCTTATTACATTCAGACCTGACATTAAAATCTTGTCCTTCCTTGCGATTTTTTCTGGGTGGAGTGGATGCTCGCTGTTCTCCTTCAGCTTAACTACTTTCTGATGACAATTGTAAATTAGGTTTTTGAGGGGAATTCTTTAAAGGCTTGACATCTTTTATTTCCATTCGTTTTAAACCCAAATCTGCTTCCAAAGCCTCCTCTAACTTGCTATCATTTAATTTTGGATTTTTAATGAGACGATTAAAGTCTAATGATTTTTTTGAACTTCTCATGACGGAAGAAGGTTTAATTGATTTCTATTCAATGATGGGAAATTAAGATTCTTTTGGATCTTTGGCCTATGAGAATGACAATATAACTACTTGTGAGATGGCTCGGGCAGGTCTTGTTTTTAATGTGGTTTAGTTTTTTCTCATAATTATAATAATTTGAAAAATATCAAAGAGATGATGATCTCTTCTTGTTTGATACATTTTTAAATTCCATCTGTTTGAGTCTTTCCTCTATCTTGCATTTATTGTAAAGAGTGTAGGCAATCTCCCTTAGATTTTGAGATACATTTGATTTTCGATGCTTAGCTGACATAGGCAGGCTCATCATAGTTTACAGAGTTTATCTGTTATCTCTTGCACTTTCATACACTTAATCATGGGCTTCGAAATATTCTTTATAAGTGATGTATTATAAGTGTATCTTTTACCATTTTTGTTCGTATTTAGTTTAAGAATTGATTAAGATTTCATTAACACTTTCCAAATCTGATATTCTCCTTTCCAACTCACTCACTTGATCTTCCAAAGTTTTAGAGAGCAGAATTTCATCCTATAATTTCTATCGACATTAGGCCAGTTCTTTTTATAATGATTTGTTTTAGTCACTTAACTAATTCAATTAGACACATAATTTGTTAGGACTGGCAAACATGTTCAAAGCATTGCCAGCAGATGGAGTTTAAGCCTTCTGCTAATTGTTTTTAACTTACTATTAAAGTTTGAATGCCTTGATTTCTATCTCCTCTTTCTCTTCAATCTCCTCTTGCTTTTGTATATTTAACTATTGCAATTTTTAGGCCTTTGCCAAATCTAACTTTGGTACAGACATGTTAGAATTTTTTTAAAATTAAATGTTCACTTTCGCTGGCAATATTTCAACGTAACTTGATTCATCTACTTTAGCACCGGATACTTGTTTATTTTCTTTAATGTATTGATTTTTAGGACTTTCATCGTTGCTTCTGTCTGGTGACAGGATTGGAGGCGTATAATCTGATTTGTTTCGTTGTGCTTACTTCTACATAACATCAATCAGAATTTGTATCTTATTTTTCTCGTCTCTTAGTTACTTATTCTCCTTAATCAACTAGCCTATCAACATTCTCATCTACTCGATTTGATTCAGTACTGCAAAGACATCTTCAGTTGGGGATACCATCTTTAAACTAATATTTGGATTTCTATACTATCTTTTGTTTGATCTTCTTTTTGCTCTGAAACTCAAACAGCTTCTCAGTCAAACAAATCAATTGTTGATCTTTTTCATTTAATTTTCTTTATAAATCTAACAATTGATTCTGTCTCTCTAATTGAAGTTCCATATTGCGCTAATTTGAATCCTCACAAATTTGCTCAAATATTAAAGCCTTTAATCAACTACAACATTTACTTAGCTCCTTGCTTCATCTCTTTATTTTGCAATTACTTCATTAAGAGCATACAATTAATTATTTTCTTCGTACAATTGCGAAAACAATGATTAGAAGCCTCTTTCAGAATTGTTTTCACATTATTTGGTGTAGATATCCTCTTTTCTGCTATTATTTGTGCTTGGTTGCTTAAAATATGGTTTCAAAAAGTACAGAATTAAATGTACAATCTTTTTGAATTTTAATTACCTCCTTATTTAGTTGGAGTAATTATCGAAGTTCTTTGTTTTCTTCCTGAAGTTATCTTACTTCCTATTAGAGAAAATTCAATTTAGTTTCAAGTCCATCTTTATTCATAATATTAATAAAATAATCAATGCTTTTGCTACTTTAGTTGTATGTAATCATTAAGAATCTTTTTCAGCCATCTCCAGCATTGTCTCAAATCAGGTTTCGAGGCAGGAAAATGATTTATTGGATGACATTGAATTACCAGATCAACTATTGAATTAACGAACTTTGGTATTGAGGGATCTTTAATACAGTTTTCCAAGCGTGTAATCTCTTGTTTTAAACTCTGGTTTTCTTTCATCAGCAAACTACTTTCAATCAATTAATTTTGAAATTACACCTCCTTCTCTTTCATTTTTTATTCAAATTCTTTTAATCTCTCTGTAAAATTGTCTTATTGAAATTGCTTCGGTTCAGGTAAGCGATTCATCAATTGTTTTTAATGAGCCCTCATCTCACTTATCATCTTCTCTTTAAACTCTAATTATTTCGTAAGTTAATCAACTTTCATTCTAAGCTCAGAAACTTCATCCCCACTAAATCTTTCAGCAATCGGACTTATTTGTTGTTGCTTTAAATATTGTGAATAGAATAACTAAGTCGAGGAATTATGGGAGAGCTAACTAGTTTAACGATTCATTAATTTTTTTAAGAATTTTAATATTGCTCTTAAAACAATAGTAATCTCCAATGATGTCAAAACTTTCTTATTTCAAAACTCATAGTACATTGCCATCTGTTTTGTTTTTTATTTTAGTTTCTATGCTAAACTTATCCATTTTCTACATTTTTGGTAGATTCTCAAAATTAAAAACTTCCAAGCTTTTAATATTATTTTCGTTTAAAATAACCTTTTCTTATTTGAAAATAGATGAATTTACAATACACATCATATTTAATACTATATCGTTAATAGCAGATTATCTTAGGAAAGAAGGACTAGAAAATTTATAATTAATAAAGTTGATGTTAAATCATCAAACCAAAATAAATTATTTGATGATTAATAATTTTAAAAAAGTTGTATAAATTGTAAAATAATAAAATCATGTATCTTATTTAGATTAATACTAGTAAATATTAGCACTACAATATGTTTAATAACTAATTACAATTAAAATTAATATATATTAATTATGATGATTTAATATTTAATATTCATTCTTCACCTCCACGATTCGATAATTTAGATTTACTCATATCAGTTACGATTCGGTGAGAATTCATTGAATGTTTCTTCTTTTTTTCTTTTTCTATTTCTAACAGTTATTATTGCCTCTTTTCTTCTGCTTCTTTTCTTAATTATTCACTCATCTTAATTAAATGTTCTTTCTCCAGTTAAATTTACTAGCTTTTAATTAAATCTTGCTTGATTCTTTACTCCAGTTATTCTTTTCTGAGTTCATCTAATTATTCACGTCTTTGTAAATTATCTTATTTATCTAATTCTTTAATAAAAGCAAATGCTAATTTTCTTGTTAATTCTTCTTATTTCTCTTTTTCAATTTTCTCACATTTAACTTTAGCTTAATCTAATTTTTTTAGTAATTCTTTTTTGTGTTATTCAGCCTATTATTCATTTCTAATTAAGACATCTTGAATCTTTCTTTCTTTCTAGTAATATTGTTTCTATTTCTCTATTTATAAGAATTTTTATTCTTCTTCTAACTTTTTCTTTTTTAATTACAATTCTTATTGTTTTTTTTCATAATCCAAGACTTTTTTTCTCATTTATTCTTCATTTTATTTAATAACCTTGTTTATTTCTTCTTATTTCATTTCTCCTTCCTTCTCTTTCTATTTTTTATATTCTTATTATTAAGATTCAAATAATTGTCTTTATTACTCAACAAATTTTTGTTTCTCTTCATAATCTAATCTCTTTTTATTTAATTATTCTTCATTTAATTTTCTAACCTATTCTAATTTAGCCTCTTATTCCAATCTCTCTTATTCTGCTTTCTCCATCCTTTTGATTCTTTCATCTTCAAATTTTTATGACCTTCTTAAATCTTTATCTTATAACTCTTTTAATCTAATATCTTAAACTTCTTATTAACGTTATAAGAATTATTCTCTATCTTATTAAATTTTTTTTTATTTTTCTATTCTTTATTCTTCTTTTAATTTATTTTCCTCCTTTCTCCTTCTCTCTAATTCTTCTTCTCTCTATTTCCTTTTTTAATCTTTAATTCTGTATTGCTCTTCCAATTCTAATTAAATTCTCTTTTCTTCTTCCTCCTTCTTTCTTCTTTCCTCTTCTTGTTATAATCTCTTTTTTTCTGCTTGCTCTTTTAACCATTAGACTTTCAATTCTCTCTATTTCTCTTTTTCTTGAATTCTTTTTTCTTTTTCAACATTATTTCTAGCCAGCTCCTCCATTTTCCATTCTGAATTAATTATTTTTTCTATTTCTAATTCTTACCTTTTGCGAATACTGTTCAACAGTTTCTCTCGTTTTTCAGCTAAAGATGAAGTGCTCCTGAAGACACTAGAGTTAGACATCTGACTTGGCCATAGTCCTTGCGATTCCTCCTACAAGATTTTTTGTCTCATCTGACGTACAACTTATATCTTCTGTCGGCGTTTTTCCTCAAAATGATCGAATACCATTGATATAACATCCTCGTTTGCCAATTAGCCTTTAGAAAATCAAAGTTCATTACCTGATGGATCTTTTTATTTCAGCATAAATCTAATCAGGTCTTTGCCTTTCTATATTAAGTCCTCCTTCTTAAATCCTTCCCTTTTGCATGCATCTTTCATTCTAGGAGTAAATGAACTAGCATCGATATCCTCCTCATCATATTACTCTTCGACTTCAGGATTACTTTCTTATTGCTATTTATAATTTTGCTACTCCCTATTTTATTTTTAAGGGGAATTTTCTTATGGCCTAGGGTTGGTATTTTATTATTAACCATTTTTTTCAGTTTCTTAAAGTTCATTTTCTTAATGTTCTTCTTCAGTTTCATTATGATTATTTCCTTCTTAATTATTTTCCATTTGTATTTTATTAATATAAATTTTAATATCAATATTCTGTTAACAAATAACAAATTGAAAAATCAGTCGTTGATTCAGATCTAGTGAGTTGAATTAAGTGATGATCACTACACATTTGAAAATTCACTATAATAATCATAAAAGTTATTGAATTGTGCATGAATTAGTTAAGAATTTCAGCAGAAAGAGAATCTATATTAGATATTTTGAGTAATATATTCATATGTTAATAAATTTGTTTTATTCTTAAGATAATATAAATAAATGAATTAAAATTAAAACTTTCAAGGCAATTTGAATCTCTTCCCAGAAATTGGTACACATGGTGCTAGAGGAAAGGTAAATTATGTTTAATAAATTAGTAATATGGTGGTAACAACATAACAATGAGAGGGAATGAAATCTTTGAAGGTTTAACAACTGGAAGACCTTCTAAAAACATTATTTAAGCCCATTTCAAAGTGTTGAGATTCTATAGAAAAGTGTGTCGACTTATTCCATTTTTATTAAGAATTCATGATATGGAAGTCACTTGCAATTCATAATAGGCAATGGTTAATGTTGCTAATGTAATCAGAAAGAGAGCATACCTAAGAGATCCCGATGCTGTTGATAGATGGGTATGATGCATTTCTACAAATATAGGTGTATCGTGGCTATGAATTACTCTACCAAGCAGAATGGCATATGTTGAATAGAGATCATTTATTCCAATATTTTTCTAATTAAAACAGATCTGATGCAGGATACTCTTACTTGGAAAATTAAAAGCTTAAAGGAAAGAGCGAATTCTTAAAGGATTTCTATATTGGAAATAAGACATATGAATATTGAAAACATATTCAGCTAAAAAAGAACAGCATAATATTAATCAAAACAAGAAACTATATAATTTTAATATTATTGTTATTATCTTGTATCGTCTATTCATAATATATCAAGCATTAGCCTATGGTTCTCATTTCAAGGTTTGATTCAATTATTCCATGTTCAGAAAGCCTGATTCAGCTCCATTTTGCTCTTATTATCCAGAACCTTAATTCTATTGCTTTTCTTGTCTTAGCTTATCAAGATTTAGTCTATGTGTATTTCCAGGAGTGTATTAAGGACTAGATCTCCTGCTTCCTTATTTAGGTTTTTGTTAAGAAAGTCTAATGGGTTTCTCTGGACTCCAATCCTAAAGTGTTTAAGGTTTAGTTCTATATTGAGTAAGTTTCTGGTTCTAAAAATCATCTAATTTATATCTTATTTAATTGTTTTCAATACCTAATGTTTTAGAGTCTTTTGGATATATTAGTAGATTCAGGTTCTAATTACTAAGGTTCTCTTTGTTATTACTGATTTTTGAAATATTTTCTAAAATTTGGGAATCCAGAAAGGCCTTTTTAATCACTAGAATATGATGGTCTATCGATTTCTCTAGTAAATCTTGGTTCTTATCTTAATGATTATTCTCTCTCATTGTGAAATAGCTCTGAAATATATGATTATAGATCTCCTCTCATTCTATTTGATTTATGAGACCTTCTTTCGCTTTCCCTCTCTTCATTTGGACTCTTCAATTGTTGTTATTAAGTAATTGGTGGATTCTTGAGAAACTGTTATCCTTTCGTAGGAGATATCTAGACTTAGGATTCATATATAAAGGATTATTTGTTTTAATTGGCTGCCGATAGTCGACTTGTTTGTAATTGGGAACTGGAAATATTCAAATTGATTTTGCTTTTTTATAATGCATTAGTGGATCCATCTAAGTAGCTGACTTTCTTTTTCTTGTTTTAGATTTAACTATCCTCAGATGCTTCAGGATTTTATTTTTATTGTAATTTGCTAATTGATAACTCAGATGGCTTGATTTCAGATTTCTTTTATAAAATTTTATTGAAACACTCAGATTCATTTTAGATTATATCAGTTTTTTCTTTTTGTTATTATTAACCTCCTTAAACTAAAGTATCCAACTTTTCTTGTAATTAATCTAAATTATCACAATTTTGGATAATATTTAATATTTTTTTATTCTTCTAAGCTTCTAATTATTTAATACCATCTTTGTCTTTTTGTTCCAAAATATTTAATAATTCCAATTTCTCCTCAATCATTTATAATCTATGTTCATTTTATTTTGCTTAATATTCCCATTGTTCCCAACATTTGATGAAGTTTTCCTCGTTAAGAGTTGTATCTTTAAATACAGTTGTTCTAAATATAAGGTTAATATTTACAAATCTAATCCTTTTGAAAATTCTGCAAAATCTTCTACTGATAATGTTTCTTTTCCTTCTTTTTTTAATGCTTTAAAAGCTTCAGAAGGATTCTTAAATTTTTAAGTTAGATTCTTTTTCAAAGAACACCAAATTTTAAGAGTTGCCTAACTGGCTTCAATTTCTTCTTTTTATTTAGTTAGCTGCTCTATTTCAGACATAAATTTTATTGTAAAATATTTGTATTTATTTGCACTTTATTATTATACTATTTATAATTACTAAGCTATCTTCAATATAACTATATATAATATTCAAATGATTAAGTGAAGAGGTATAAGAATTATAAAATATATAATTATCAAAAGTGCAATGAATAGCTTGAAAACTATGTATAATGAAATCATAACAAATGATAGATGATTGTTCCAACCAAAATAATAGGGCTGAAAATATAAACCACTGAATTGGCAGACAAATCGATTACATTCCAAACTCCTTGGCAATTATTGTTATCCGTCCAATATATTGATCCAGTATTGCTGTCCCTCGAGACTAACCATTCCCAACCTTACAGTGGGCAACTCAATGTAGTTTGAACATCAGTAGGTGATTCTAGAGTACATATGACCTTATTGTAAAATGATTGTAAATACATCTTCAACAGTATATTGAGTACATCCTGATCCTTATAATTTAGCATCTATCTATACGAAATTTGTATTCATAACTTTGTCGTTTTTTAAAATAAATGAACCATATATGCAACATTCACTTAAACATGTGCATTGTAATGCGAAGTAATTGTTGATCCAATCATATTTTCTAATTTGAGCTTAAACTAGTAAAAGTAATATAAAACCTAACATTTATTATAATAAAATAATAATGTTTTCAAAAAGTGATCGGATTTGCTTTCAGCCTACTTACAATCCTCCTGTTGGCCATTACGAAATAAACCATTAATAAAATGCTAAAGGAATTGATTTTTCAAAATCCTTGGCTAGAAACATAAATACTAGGTAAAATGTAAGTCCTTAAAACAACACTAACAATTTGCCAAGGGTCTCCTTAGCAAGTCCTTAATTATCAGCGTATGCCAAACCTGGTGAAAGGTTGAAGTTTGAATAGAAATATAAGAAACCAGAAAGAAGAAGCTTCAGTTACTCTTAAAATGCAGACATTTCAATTAATAATTTCGAGAGTTTGCCCCTTAGATAAAAAGGCAAGAGACTCAAAATAGTCTATCAGAAATAAATTACAGATTAAGAAAATTCAATTGAAGAATCCACCTAATTATAAGTCTAAGGATATTACAACTCAAGAGCTCAAACCCCTATGACAGGACTGCCCAAAAGAAGAAAACCTAAAAGTATGATTACTCATTTTTACTATTGAGCACACAGGAATATATTTTCTTTATTTCCATCTGACAGTTTGGAGTTGGCATAACAAAGAGAAAAAATGAAGGATAAACCAGTACCTCCTCCTGGAGCATATTACAATGAGTTTAATGGTTCCTCGATAAAGGTAGAAAAAATACCTTGGAGATTCTAGTGCTTCTCTTCAACTGCCAAGAGATTTAGTTAATAACAGTAAGATGCAGGTCCTAGTGTAGGTGCTTATGATATTAAAACAAAATCTAAAGCCATTGGAGTTATTTCACTTGATAAATATAGCAAAAGGGAAGATAAATTCCTGAATTTTCCTGGAGTTGGTAGTTATGACGTTGATTAATCGTTCACATAATAAAAACCGAAACAAAAATAATAATAAGAATTTCCATCTCCATTCGGATCAAGTGGCAAGAGATTTTGATTAGATTATAATTATATTTATTAAATGTCTAAATCACCATACATCCCTCCAGAAGTGAAGGCATATATTGAACAATACAAAATTGAGGATATCATTAAGGATGCAGTCAACACAATCCTCTCCTAAAAACCAGCCGATCCCTATACGACATTATCTCAATATTTTGGAAAAGTAACTTATTATTTTAGATTCAGTTATCAACTCCTGTGATTGAATTAGACAAAATTACTGGTTTAGAAGTCTTAAACAATGAGTTAAAATCAACTATCCAATTGATATTCACAGTCTAATTCAAAAACCAGAAACTTCATTTCAATTCCCCACTTTACTTTTCTTAGGCTTTCTCAGAATAAGAGATATTTTAGTATGATTAATGTTAAATTTAAGTGACGACGAATAGAAAAACATGAAGTAAGCAATCTAAGAGATAGAAAAGGTTTCTCTCTAATTAAGAGGAAAAAAGTCAAAAGATTAAAAATAGGTTGATGATAATTTATTGAAATATCTTACTGAACATCCAGTATGCAATCTCATCTATTCTAGAATCGTATTAACGTTATTCAATAAATTTCTTTTAGTTTACTTCCTTTACATGCTCACTTTATGAATTAAAGTTTATCAAAATTACTTTGCTAATAATTTAACACCTAAGAAGCTAAAACACCTAAGATTTTTCTCAATCTACTATAAGGCAGTAAATTAGTGGGTTCTAAGTGTAAAATTTATAAGTTTTTATTAATCTGTGATGGAGAAGGAGCAGTGCAAAAAATCTAGAATGTTGTTAACAATGTCAAAAAAACTATTATTTCAGGAAAAAAAGGAGAAGCTGGCCTTTAATATTATTAAGATGGAACTTTTATATGTCCTGGTGATACAATTCCAGATAATCTGAAGATCATAGAATAAGCAATAGATGCAGCATAATTGAAGGATTAAGTTTAGCTAGGTTTGGTTTGGTTAGCTGAACTATTTTATGTTCCTGAAGAAAAGAAATACGACTTAGACAATCCAAAGAAATTATTAGATGCAGATTAATTGATAGATTATTATTTCAAATTATGTCAAGAAAAACCAAATATAGTTTATTTGGAGGATCCTATTCATCATTCTGATATTGTGGGGTGGACTAAAATTACTAATAAATTTAAAGACTCTAAGGTTAAATTAGGAAGCAGAAGATTATATTCAAATATTGAAAAGGCAAAGAAGCATTGTGAAGTGTTGACTTTATAAACAAATCCAGAATTGAGTGAGTAGTAGATAAACCAGATGAATAACGAAAGAATAAATATAGATTACATTTATAAGCCTCTTTATGAATACAATACGTTTACAGAGTTATAAAATCATCTGAGCTATTTGATTTCAAAAGTAATATTAAATTAAATATTAGAAATCTACATTACAATTTATTATTGGGGATTCACTTGTAGATACTGAAGACTCTTACTTCATAGATGTTGCTGTACTTTTATTTTATAAATTAGTTTTCCCTTCCTAATTCTAATATTAATATTGGCCCACCTATTAAATATGAAAAAATTGTTAAATACAATAAGTTTCTAAAATTATGCCATGAAAGTGATTGATTGATATATTTAAATAAAAAATATAAATAAACTTAATGAAATCATGATTAAACAATCAGTTTTTACTTAAAAATGAGAATTTTTCATATATCTTTTTGTAAAACATCTTAAATGTACCAATACTACATTTTGCTTATTGAGCAATCACTGATGGTCTGATCCCACCTCTATGAGTAAAAATTATGTCTCCACTATACTTGACAATTGCAGCTGCAATTACATTCTCACGTTCTTTTTGAATTAAATTATTCTATTGAATTTTCTTAAAAATTTGAACACAGAATTTTATGAATCTTTCATTAAATCCCAAATTATATGAGATGGTTTTAATAAAAATTTAAACAACAGACTCAAATTTATTATTGTTTCGGATTTTGAGCAATATTTTTTTGATTAAATATTTTGAAACTGAAATTTTAGCAAAAATTTTTTTTTGAGTAATAGGGATGCACGTTAATTTTATGACAGCAATTAACCCTGCAATGGCTATAGCGATAGGTGTGTATTTTTTTTATTTGAGTTCAGACAACAATTGAGGTTAAAATAGTTGTATTGCAATTTTTAATAAATCTTCATTCAACCCCAAAATAGATATTACGTTTTTCATTTCTTCAACAATTGCTGATAGTTTTTTTCTATCAAAATTACATTCCTGGCTGCTCTAAGATGAAGTATCAGAATTATTATTGTCTAATGAAGTCGGATTGCATTTGGAATCTTTTATTTATTTCTCAATTGGAATAATATGAAGATTGCTGGTTTCAAAAACATTTAAATTAAATTTTGGAACTGGAGGTCTTATTAATCTAATCTATGTGTTCATTCTAGTGAAGGGTCTGAAATAAATAATTTTATAGACTTAGAATTAACTTCATTATTTCATAAGGATCAACTAGAACTTAAGTCAAATTTTATCTCACATTGTAGCAAAAATAAAATTTAAAATTAATAAAAAATGTAAACAATTTCAAATCATTCTATTAAATATTTATAAAAATAAAGAACAAAATACTCAATTTAAGTACTTTTATTCAAAAATTGAAACACTTAAAATTGGACTTCTCTATTGGTTTTTTTAAAGTCCTGTGTGTCTAGTCTCTATTTAAAAAACAATCAGTTTTCTATATTGATTCTGCATTTATAAATTAACTTTATTACAATAATTTATTGTTATTTGACTGTTTAATAATTTCTTTTAATGATTATACCCTTTAATTATAATAATATACTAAATTTAATAATAAATGAGTATTTAATTGAATGATAGGCATATTACATAATTGGAAGAATTAGAATCTTTAAAAGGAAAACTACAATGCCCATCATACAGATCTCGTAATCTTTCATCGGATAGATAGTATACTCCTTCGTTGACAAACGATTTCCGAAGCACTAGAAATAGTGATTAATAGAAAGACTCTTAATCAGTGGAGAAATGTATTTTGATTGAATTATAGACTAGTTTTGAATCTTAAAAAGTAAAATTAGAATGTTGACAATCTTTCTCAATTATGGAAATAATAAAAGCAATCCATATAGCTTCCTTAAAGCATACAGTCACAAAATTCAATAAGTATATCTGATTTCTATGCAAATTTTGTAGATAAATAGGAGATTGATCAATAGATTCCTAAATATACTCATTTGGTCATAGAAGAAGAAGAGAATTTGGTTACTGAATAAGATGCCAATAAAATAAAAGTCGTTTAGGCAGCCAATAATGTTAGAGTAAATGGGAAATTTCCTAACGCAACTAAACAAGCAGGATAAAAAAAAATTTAATAATCAGCTTAGCAGATTTAAACAAGCAATAACCAAATTTAAACCAAAAAAACAAATAGTAATAATAACACTTATAATAATAACAACAACAATAGTCGTCCTTAAACCACAAAATCCTAAGTTCAAGTACCACAAACACCTTTGACTTAAAAAAAAACTGTTTAAAAAAGTAACACAAAATCTTTCTAAGATCCATTTTAAGATGGTATGTGTTTAATTAAAATAAGTACCTTAAACTCCTTCATAAAAGTTATAATAAAGTTCCTTGCTAGAGAAATCTAGACAAGGAAAAACAAATTAGGCTATAAACAAAGTTATTACTAAAAAGAACCCTGAAGAAGATTAAAGAAATTTAATCCTGTAATTAGCGAAAATAAAAGAAAGCGTGACAAAGTTATATGATAGCAGATTTGAGAAATAGTTGACTCATTCTTCTTAATTTATTGAAAAGTATATATTTCTGTAAGCTTAGAAATTTTGATCAAATTATCAATACATTGAAATTGGACTTTAGATTTCATGAAAATGATATATGAATACTTATTTATCATTCAATATCTTAATTAAACTTATTAACTATTTAATAATACTTTTTCAATATAATTGTTGTTTGTCTAGTCAAAAATTTATACATCCTTGAGTTATTTGTCAACGCATTCAGATAAACCTATAGTATTAATTAATATTGATAATTAAGAATAATTTAAATGAAATCTCTGAGAATAAATAATCAATATATATTATCAAGAAAAATTGCATCAGGGGCATTTGGATTTGTGATGCTTGGTTTTGATCAAAAAACAGGATAATAAGTGGCAATCAAAATTGAAAAACCAGAAAATTAACATATCAGATCTATTGAAAAAGAAGTAGACATAATTCAGAAATTAGAAGGGGTTTCGGGAGTGCCGAAATTGCTTTACTCTGGCAAAGAGGATGACTTTAATGTTTTGGTTTTGCAACTACTTTCTAAAGATCTATCCACTTTGATAAAACAATAAAAGAAATTTAGCCTCAAAACTATTTTATAGATTGGGATTAAATTAGTTGAGATTTTGGAGGATATTCATTAAAAAGGGGTACTACATAGAGATTTGAAACCAGAAAATATTATGATTGATGAAAAAAACAAGTTTTACATTATAGACTATGGTATAAGTAAGACCTTTCTACGTAAAAATGGAGCTCATTTGTAAAATGATAATATAATTAGACCTTTCAAAGACAGATAACCCTTTATTGGAACCTCTCGATATGCTTCGATAGCAGCTCATAAAGGGAACGAGTTGGGAAGAAAGGACGATTTAGAATCTCTAATTTACATCTTGTTGTACTTTTATTTAGGGTAAAAATGAAGATTTTCATTGTTTCAGTAAATTGCCATGGCAAAACATCAAGCATGTTCCAAGCGACTAAAAGATACAAAAAGTTGGTGATATTAAATAAAAACAGACTACTGATTTATTTAGGAATTTACCTGAAGAACTAAGAAAAACATACGAGTACTTTTATAGCATATATATAATATAGATATTTACGTAAGCTTACATATGTCACATAGCCAGATTATAAATCAATAATTATATTATTTTAGTAAGCTGCTAAAAATGCGAAGATTACAATTGATTCAATATATGATTGGGATATCCAAAACACTGCTTAGACAGAAATCTATTCTCATTATGGAACAATATAATTTGATGATAGTGTCTAAATAGATAAATATCAATCTAATTAATTAATGTAAATATTTTTACTATTCTATAGCAACATTAAATAATAAAATAATAATTAAAACAAAAGAAAAACTGTTTGTCCATCCCTAATTAAAGAGACTAATAATTAAAATCTCTATTAATTTGGAAGAGATTAAAGTGGGCAAAGTAGTCCGATGGTTAATTTACATGGTATCAATCAATTATCAAGAGACGAGATAAGTGAAGATACTGAATACATAATTCCAGAAGAATTGTAGTAAAATCAAAATTTAAGGGTCAGAACATTACCAGATTATTTGAAGAAGCCAAAAATGAAATAAAACCCTATTCAAACCTTAATTTTTGATGAAGATTGGCTAATGGACTCAGACAACCATTTGATGGATAATTATAAGAAATTATAATCTTTGAGCAATCAAATTACTACTATTTTTCATAATAAATAAAAGTGATCAATCATTAATTTTATTTTAGGGATATTTATATAAATTTAGCTATTTAAATTATAAACAAAAAAATTAATATTCATCAATTTCAGACTAAAGGAAATCTCTAATTCTATTTAAATTGTTTAATTTCAAATTGTAATTTCATTTTTCATATATCATCAAGTTTATCTAAGTTTGCATACTTTCTAAAAATATGTCAATTATTGGTTAAAGAAAATATATCTTATTTTCTATATATGATTATTCTCATGTACCTATTTATTTCTAAACCTTTCTATACAAATCTATATTTTATTTATTGTACTAGATTCTAATTTATTATTAGATTTGTACTAGTCCTTCATAAAATAAATAAGAAAATTAATTAAAATAAAATCTATGCAAAGGTTATCATCCCTGTTAATAGGATTTGGGTTAGGAATTTTCGGAATGAGCTTACTATACGATCCTTGGGGACAAGTAATTTACTTAGTAATTCTAGGAACGATTTGAAAGGACTGTAAGAGAAACAGCAAGATTAGAAAACTCAATTCTTAATAATGTGGATATTTATATATAGATGAGATAGTTTCTTGGATATATGCTAGTGGCTTGCTCTTTTGTAACAATGAATAGGTAAATTTAATCATTATGAAAGAATTGGTTTACTATATGTGCTTTCAATTCCAGCTTTAATAGTTTATGCTGCAATCAATTATAATCATATATTATATAAATCAGAAAGACTTGGAGGAGAGCAAACGATACAAGGAGCCTTATTTTATATAGCATTTTGCTTTGCATTAATTGATGCATTAATAAAGCCTAAGAAAGTGCCTTTGCAAAAATCAACATAAAATAAAGTAGATAAGAAAAAAAACGATTGATTTATCATTAAACAAATGTATTTTCAATTATATAGATGAAGTTGCTTGATGAAATATACTTATTCATATATATTTATTTTTTCTCTCTCTTCTTCTGATTATTGCTGCCAAATTGTTATGTTATAGATAGTTATCAAAATTTTTAAATCTTTCAAACTCTTCAAATAACTCGATATACTATCCTCTTTTTTTTCCATATTCATCTTCATATGTTTATTATTCATAAGATGGCAATTTATTTTGAGGAGATAAAAATGAGCCTTGAATAACAATATCAAATAAGTTTCGAGCTTTTGGTTGGGTTGTTCTTGATCCTCTTCTATTTGAATCCTATTAGACCTAATCTGAAGGACTTGATTATTATTTTAGAAATTACAAATTTTGAGTTTCGGACCCTTTCATTAATGAATTAAAATTCATGGTCTTGTCACCTTCCAACTTATTTCCTTATTTAATCTCTGAAGATACATCACTTAGTTATTTTTTTTTGAAATATTTTACAATTTCCTTTATTTTATCTTGCTTAGTAAATATATATTAAATTTACCAACTCTTCATCTTGTAAAGCATCGTTACAGCCCTAAAAGGATAATGGTCTTTTTGATTCAATCTATTGTGTAATAGTCAACTTGTAGCCTACTTTAAAAGAATTTAAACTTTCTTCCTCTGATTCCTCCTACTCTTCATAATCTATAAATTTATTTTCAATTGATACCAGTCTTATATTGAAGTTCTTCAATCAGTTTGTTTTTGCATATAAACAATAAAATACTGTTCTTAACATCATGAGATTCTAATAAGGTATCAACTCTCCTATTCAAAGATCGCCTATATTGAACTCTATCAGATGGAACATTTCTTCTGTAATTCAAAAGAACCTTTGATCTGTTTGGATATCCACAAACCAATGGACATTCTCTAATTACATGTGAGGTTTTATTGCATGCTCGACATGAAACATCAACAATAACTTAGGCATTTGAAAAGGCCACTTAATCTCTCATTTAACAAAATGTAGACTTGTATAAAAATCACTAATACGTAGTCTTTGGAATTCTATTGTAATAATTCAATGACTTAATTTCTATGAATTTTAAGTAAATAAGTGAATTAGGTGGATTTGCAAGATACTTAATAATTCTACTTCTAAAAGAACTCCAAAACTCCAAAAGGCTATGAATCTCCTGAATATGATTCCAATACTTTTTATGATTCTTATTTATTTTTGAGTGTAACATAAAATTACACTTCTCCTTTTTGAAGTATGTATAGATAATCACTTACTTCATCTTACTAGGATATATATGAAATACATACTTTAAATATAATTTGTTCAGGTGCAAATTTCTCTTCAATCAAGTTTTTGGACAATTATATTAAAAATTAATCACTAAAATTATCAGTCAAAAATTTGATCTTCTTAACAATCTTCATATTGATATCTATTTTCATCTCCTCCAATAATTAGGCTGGAATTTATTCTGCAAATCTAAAGGCTTCTCTGTCATTTTCTTCTTCTGCATCATACCAAATATACTCAAAATACTTTCTAATCTTTTCAGCCAAATGTTTATCAAGTCCCTTTAATCTCATATATTTCTTTAGATCATTCATATTTTGTCTAAATTCGTAAGTCTTTCTACTCCAATCAGCATAAATATTGTTAATGTTACCAATTGAGTATCCAAAAATACCAACAGCAGCCACAGTCATACCAATTGTGAATATTCTTTCTCTTAAATTCTATGGAGTTATATCACCATACCCGATAGTAGTCATGGTTACTATACTAAAGTAGAATGATGTTAAATATTATGCATGCCAAGGTTCATCTTACAATTCATTTTTTATAACCCAAGTGTTTTAATCACTTCCTGTTGTACCAACTAGAAACCATAGACAAGCACAAAAATGAGCCACAGCCAAAATGGTGTATCCTAATTTAACCAAATCGAATATTGCAATTTAACTTGATGTGAGTTCAAGTCTATCAAACAAATTTCCACTAAATTTAGTAATCTAAAAGACTTTTAGAATAAGGACCAAATCCAAATAGTCCAATTAAAATCTAAGACTTAAGAAGAAGGGGATGATAACAAAAATATCAAAAAAAAAGGCTAAAGATATTATCAAGATATAGAGATACATGTTCGTATGTAATTCCTGGCTATGAGGTATCTATTTTCTATCACAGTTCCCTTGTAGTAATAGCAAGTGTTAAACTTTATTAGGATCTCCAAAATAAAAGAATATGAAGGGAGTACATCAAATAACACCCATCTAAATTATTGAAAACTATCATCCAATGAATTACTTGTGTCAAATTTAAATGCCACTCTGGCACTCACATAGAGTACGTTCATGTTCAAAATGGTCAATATGTAAATATTCCAAGCTATTGCTATTATCGACTCGGGACGCAGTATTAATTTGTTTTTGTTTAAATAATTGTAAACCTTGAGCTTTCTAAGTGGGACAAATACTTATTGATTTAATTAGTATTTCATTCTTTCATATGGACTTGGTTTCTTAAATTAATTTACAACAATACTTCATATTTGAAATAATCATTAAATAAATAATATCTAAAATAGGCTGACTTGTCTCCAATGATGTCAAAAACATTTCTATTTATGAGTCTGAAACTTGTAGCAAAGTTAGATTTGGTTATGAAACTAATAAATCTTAAAATTATCATCAAAATCTCTAGAGGGTAGTTCTTCCAAGCTTAATTACTAAACCCATCAGTTTCTACCACTGATTATGAATCCAAGAGAAAAGGACTTTCATCTTTGTTTTTCTTATTCTTAGGAGGTTTGCCTGTGTATTGAGGACCGTAATGTGACAATTTAATTTGGGATTGGCCTGTGCGATTTCTATAAAAGTAAATTTATTTCAGTTAAGTACAATTTTGGATTATCTGAAACTAAATCTGTAGCTCTCAATGTTCGCAAGGTTTCTTTATTGTTTTGTAGAGCCTTTTTGATTTTGGCAATTGTTTATTCCTTTTATCTTGATCCACTATCTAATAACGATCTGCCAGATTATCCTTGTAAAGTATGGTTGTCTATCATAAGGTAAACTCAGAGATGTTACAATTATCTTGTTCAGTTCTAAAATTTTCTGATTGATTTGGCTGCATATTTGAAATATAATTGTATTTAAATATAATATCAGTAGGAGCATAATTGTAAGTGGAGTTCATTGCCAGATTCGAGCTTATTGGAATCCCAAATAAATGAATAAAGGAATTAGCATATAATCAAACAGTGAGGATTTAACTAGCCAAAAAATTGTTTGGTTTTATTTCAAAAGGGTAGATTGGAATTGTAGGACTTTTGATTGATGATAGACATTTTGGGTTGAAAGAGCTGATTCCATGTGGGATGATATTGATAAGAAATTTATAAGCAGTAATCATTAATATATTTAAGGTTTGTATAAATTTAGGATAATGATCAAAAAAGTATACACTGTACCAACTCCAAGAGAATAGAAACCAAAAATACAGTAAAAGAGTTAACAAGATGTGATGTGAGCTATTATTGATTAAGAGTAGAAAGTAAACATAATTTGCCTATATTCCTGATTCAACCACTTAAAAAGAATAAGCATCAAAGATGGCTCGCTCATATTTAATGTTTAAGCCCAAGTTAGTCGAAGAAATTGATGAGAACAACATGAAAAAGATGAAACTCTCATTTCACAATTCGATTACTGACTTACAAACTTTCGAGGAATTGGCACAAGAATAGCAACAGAGAGAATCAACACCAAATTTAAATTAGGCTCCTTAAGAAAAGACTAAGACATTTGTCAGGTAACTAATTTTGTCTACCATTTTAGAAAGTCTATGAGACACTTAACTTAGCTATGAAGCAAAATAAATTTTGTGATAAATTATATATATGACTTATTTAAGTCTTTTATATTAAATTTTGGATATCCACCTATATTATTTTTAATTTATCATTAATGAAACACAGTAAGAACATCCTAATTTACATATCAGAAAATATTGAACTTGATTTGTTTAGATCTCAAATAATTAAACTGTTGCAAAAACAAGTAACTAAATGAGAAGATAAGCATTTGCCATATGGATATATTATAACATACAAATAATAGTCTCATCATCAAGACTAGTTGAAATAGTTAGTAATATTGAGAGAGGATAAATGCAGTAATTTTTAGAAGAGGATTCTAGTTAATTGAATTAAAAGAACGAGAACTCAATACAATAATTGCTAAACCCATATTTATTTTAATTGATCAAAGAAGAAGAAATCTAAGTTAAGAAGAGTTAGATAACATTATGAAGAGATGTCTATCTAGACTATTTGTATTTCTCGCCAGTTACAGGCAAACCAAAGAATGAAATAGTTAAAATTTATCTAACAAATAAGCTATCTAATCAGTCACTTAAAACACTAATCCAAAGTAATTAGAAATTTATGAACCAAAGGTAACTACATTATTTAGAACTTTTAAACTGCAGGGGTATTTCAAAAGAATTAAGAACTTAAAATAATATAGAAAAATCAGATAAGAATGGAGCAAAAACTACATTTTTGGAGCCAAGATTAAGAGATAACAAGAACAAGAAACAAAATAGTGATGCATTTAGTATAATACAATATTATTTATTTACATTTTATTTATTAACTTATTAAGGAACAGAAATAGAAAATGTCTACCAAAAAATAGGTGTCAGGGGGAAAAACGTCAAGATCAAATAGCAAATAATCAGTATCTAATCCCATATCAGTGAGAAAGCGGTTTTCATCACTATGTTCGCCGTAAATTTTTGATTTAATCTTTTCTATAGGCCAAACAGTCAGGGACAATCGTCTTGTGTCTTTTGTTAGAAATTCAAAAGTAAGAAGGTTGAAACCTATGCTCCTCTCCTTAATAAGGCTTTATTTGCAAAATATTCTTCTTCTCAAAACTACTATTATTCAAAGGACATTAATGATATAATTGATGAGGAATCTACGCCAGCAGTTGTATTTTATAGAGATTTGGAATGCATAGTCGAGGAAGAAGAATATTTGAAGAGGTACGAATCAATCCAATAAAAGATCTTATGCTAAAAAGGAATCAACTTCTAAAATTAAAGCATTGTTAGAATACTACAAATACCACAAGGACATCCCTCGACTCTTTATGCAGAAGGTCTACATAACGATTAACAAGTTCCACGAAAAGAAACGAAGAATTGAATATGCGAATATCAAAAGGAGATTGAATATCCCAGATGAAGATATAGTAAGTTAATATCTAAAAATCTAGTAACAATCATAAAAAAAAGAGAAGAAGAAGAAATAGCAACACAGTGATGAAGATGTAACTGTGGGTTAATTAAAACATCTTCTCAAGGATTTGAAATTAGATACAAATTCCTATCTCTAAAAAAAAGTTGATATCTCTAGTAGTGTACAATTACGTGAATTCGTATAATAAATTGGATAAAAATATGATTATCTCGGATAAATTTCTGGTTTATTGTCTATCGATCAAAGCAATAGTTTTCTCTTAAGGTCTCAAGATCTTTCAACGATCAACAAGAATCTTAAATAAAATTATCTCATTAATAATAAACCACAAACTAATTAAAACTCTAAAGCCTAAATTTTAGACTCCAAAACAACTCATTAGATAAGCTATCAAGGGAGTTTTGATAAAATCAATATCAATAGATTGTAATTTATCAATCAAGGAGAAGTATCTTCTATAAAAGCTGAAAACTCTATTAAAGCAGGTGAATAAACCAAAAGATCTAATTAGGATTCATCCCCTATGAGGAATTCATCATAATTATAAACCATACAGAAGGTTTACTCTTAAATTGAAGGGTTTGCTAGTTTAGTTTAAAAATAATAACAATCATAGTAACAATAATAAAAACTAAATTATGGTCAAAAGTCAAATTCGTAAAGGAAAGTCAGTGCTAATTTCAATTCAACTGATTGCTAATTCAGATTACCAAGCAGATAAAATTCAACATAAAAGCAACCTCCTGAGTTGTAATCATATTAAGTTAATTTCTTGTAAATATATATCGATAACCTATTTGTAGAAGAACCAGAGTGGCGTCCCAATTATAAAAATATGATGATGATTATAAGAGTATCAAACATGTACATTAATAATCTTAGGTAAGCAACCATTAGCAACAGATAGAATTCAAAGATAAAGTGTTTATAATGTAGGCGAGAAAAATTAGCAAAAGTCATCCTCCAAAAACATGTAGAATATAATTTAATTTTAGATAAAAGGTTCCTTAGAAATTCAATTAATATGCATTAGCAACACTGAGGAATCTGTAGGTAAAGTATTCTGAAGTGAAGAAGAAGTAAATTGTTAACAATAACAATATGCAGGGACCAATATTGAATTCTTAATTGTTACATTATAGAACTAAATCTCAAGATGCAGTGGGAACTTATAAAGCATCTCCTCCAAAATAACCTCTAAGACAGGATAATTCAAAAGATCCATTAAGAATTACAAACAACATCAATGTTTAAGGGTCATCCAAAAAGGTAGGTGGTGTATACAATATCAACTAAAATAATATAGTTAATATTTATATTGAAGATTTGAAATCTTCTGCCAAAATAAAGTAAGGCGGTTCATAAACTGCTCGAATCAATAGCCCCTTAAAAAATAACCCTAAAGGAATTTTCGAAATCTATAACACTCAAAGATCTAATTAAAGTCCAGCAAGCAAAAAGATAGGTTGAGATAAAACGTTATTTATATAAAATTTTATGGATAATTAATATTTTCATAATAATAGAAATGTGCTGACTCTTAAAATTACTTAGCCTTTAACTGCTTATTAAATTTCATCTGGCCAATATAAATCAGTGAAGTTGCCTTAAGCTTCTCTAGCTAATGGTCAAATTATTCTTTAATTCATCAATAGCTAATCTAGATTTGTCATTTAACCATTCCTCATTAACTTTTTATGAATTCTTGGTAAAACTCTCTAAGTTTCAACTCCACTGATATCAATTTGAATAAGTGGAATGATAGTATAAAAATTTCAAATAAGAGTAACGTAATTTTAATTCCCAATGTCTGGATGCGAATGCATATATCATTGGTTAAAGCACCAACTGAACTGGACAACAGCGAGATTTCGTTAAAATTCACTTTTGATTATTTTTTCAATTTATGTACCAATTTCAATATATGTTCCTTTCCCAATTTTCTAATTCAACTAAACCAGCATATTGCATCTATTCATACTTTATGAGGAACATCATCAATGAATATTTCTATGAGATTCTATTGTGTTGAGAAGGCTGATAATTATTTTTTCAATATTTGCTATCCTTCCTACAATTAGAATATAATCGTTGTTTTTATATATTAAATATTTTAATGTGTTGCTTGCAATTAATAATTTCTCAAACTGATTTAGTGTAATAGTAGAATCTATATTGCTGTTACAAATAATCTTTCCTTAATTATGATTTATAAAAGGTTTCTTATATAAAGGATGAGTGTTTGCAAATGGTAAGAGTTTGCTTTTGTCAACAATTTAGTATTCGAATAATACAATAAAACTAATGTGAATTTTAATAATACAATAAATATTAATTGTGAATTCATGTTCATTTGAAATATTTAATCAAGATTGAAATTTAAATTAAAAAAAAATATTAAATGGCTGAAGAGAAAGAAATTGAAATAAAAGAAGAAAAGGAGTAAACCTAAGAGCATCATCATGATCACGACCACGACCATGACCACGACCATTCAGATGATGGTCACGATCATGATAATTAAGGGGATGATAAAGACAAGAAGGCCAACAGAGGAGAGAAGAAATTCAAAAAGGCTATGCTCAAATTAGGAATGAAGCCAGTTGCTGGAATCACCAGAGTCACAATTAAAAGAGGAAAACAATTCCTTCTTTATATTGACAACCCAGAAGTATTAAAATCAGCAAACGTTGACAATTCCTACATCGTTTTTGGAGAAGCTAAAGTAAATGACCCACAAAGTCAAATTGGAAAGAAGGAAGCTGATAATTTGGCTTAACAAGTGTAATAATTTAATTTCTAAAATGTAGTACCAAATAAGTCGAAGAAAAACACGAATAATAATAGGCACAAAACCCAGAATAAGTCAGCGACGAAGGTATTCCTCCTGAGTCAATCAAAATGGTTATGGAACATTGCAAATGTGATAGAAGTAAAGCTGTGGAAGCACTTAGAAAATCCGATAATGACACCGTTTAAGCCATTCTCACCTTAACTGGATGATGATTTATTATATCTAAGTAGATAAATATAGTATAAAATTTAACACAAATAAGCCTTTCAGAATAATAAGTTTACAAAGAATCGAAATAAGCATTCAATATAAATATTTTATTTAATATGGCTGCAGCCTCCCAAAATGTCTTCAACAATTAATATGTGATTCAGAAGAAGATCTCTTCAGGTTCATTTGGAGTTGTATATCAAGGGATTGACTTAAGAACTTCGGATCAAGTCGCAATTAAAGTAGAAAAATAGGAAATTGATGATTTATTTAGTTTGGATAGAGAAGTAGAGTCAAAAATATTCTATATTTAGATTTAAATACTAAAAAATTTGCATGGGACTCCACAAGTTCCAAAATTGAAATGGGCTGGAAAAGAAAAAGGACATAATGTGATGGTAATCCAAATATTAGGAAGAGATTTAACACACTATCTAAGATAAAGGAAGCGCTTTAGTTTGGCATGCGTTTTGGGCATTGCTGATTAGATGTTGACTATTCTTGAAGCCATTCATAGCAAGTATTTATTGAATTCAAGAAAGGGGTGTCATTCATAGAGACATAAAGCCTGAAAACATATTGGCTGGTAAGGAAAGAGAGCGGAATCTTATTTACCTTGTGGATTATGGCATAGCGAAGTAATTCAAAGATAAAGATGACAAACATATGTATATCAACTAAATTAATATACAAGTGCTTTCAAGGAAAACAAGCCTTTTTTGGGAACATCCAGATATGCCAGCATAGCAGCTCACAAAGGCCAGGAATTATCAAGGAAGGATGATCTAGAATCTTTGGGATATATGCTAATGTATTTGAAATATTCATATAGAGATTTTTATTAAAAGGAAGCTTGCCATGGTAGAGCATTAGTTATAAGAATGAGGATGAGAAAGTAAAGATGGTAGGGTTGTTGAAAATGAGAATTACATCCCAAGAATTATGTTAAGATATTCCAACTGAATTTATGAGGTTTATTGATTTAGTCAAAAAAATGAGTTATCGCGAAAAACCAGATTATAGGTAAAATGTTAAATTGATTTATTATTTAGATATTTTTAATAATTGTTTAGAAGAGTCTCTATATAATAACAGATTGAGTGTCGATTTGATTGGTATGATGAAAATAACTATGAGAAAAAGTCAGGATCTGCATCACCCAAGAAGTAGCAGTCCATTAAAATTGTGGATTAATCCTATTTGATTCAATAAATCTATACTCCAAATAAAAAAAAGTTAAGTGAAGAATACGATGACTCTGGATAATCTAGGAGAGAATCTAATGGAAGACAATCTTTAGTTAATAATAATTCTAATAATCTACTTTTATGCGATAGTAGAATGAATCTTAAAAACAAAAGTCTTAGTTCATACAATGAATCCAATTTATAATATAGTGATGTATAGCCTGATTTGAGTTGTCTCATCGCATATTAGAGGAATCTAAGATATGGATCATTTCATAATGAAGCTGAAATTCCCAAACAACCTGATAGAAGTACTTCAGCTTAAGAGAAGATGAAAGTTAAGCACAAATTAAGTTTGGATGTCAAACCAAATTGCTACAAATCCATAGTTGAATGCTAGTTAGGATTAGTGAACATTCCCTCAATTATGGATTTTACAGTAAATAGTCAAAATTAAATGAATGAGGACGAGAGTCCCTGTCTTGATGACAAATTTAGTATACTAAAAATAGGCTCAATCGATAAGTAAATTCATTTGGTAATTCTAGTAAATTCAAAAATCCAATACAACTCTTCAGAATTAATAACAAAGAGAAATCAAGAGTTAAAAATAATTGAATAAACTTTATATTTATTATTTAATGAATCAACCCTCATAGTATGGTTAAGCATATCCACCTAAAGTGCTTCTCTTCCATGATCTATTATAATGAGCAACAGCATCTAACAAGTGAGTTGGTCCCCATACGACAACAGAAATATCCTATTATAAATATATAACAATATGATTACCTTATCCCAGAAGTGTCTTGTAGCAACTCTAGTCAAATGACCAGCATCAAGAGCAGAGATTCTTCGAGCGAATTCACTTCTTGGCACTCTTCTTCCCCAATAGCTATATCTTACTGAAATATAGATACAAAACTTATTAAGCAATTTCTCTTGATTATTTGGCTGAACTTTCTTAACTCAATAATTCATTAAACACTTTAGCTCTGGCTCTGAAAACTTCAACTTAGCCTACAGATGAAGCATAATCAGATAAAACCATTTGACTGATATATGCCATTTATGTTGCAAAGACTTCATTACCAATCAAGTAATTTCCAAAAAGACCAGTGTCTGAATATGCATAATAAGCGCATCTTTAGTATGTAACATCTGGTAATCCACCAAGAAGTGAATGCATAGTGTTATATTATCTGCTTGGAGAATTCAAATGGAATCCTGTGTGTTTGTCAGCTCTATAATCACCAATAAGTCTTTAGAAATAATGGAGAGCAAAAACATCAGGGTGATTCCATCCTGGAGCATCAAAGAAAACACCAACATTCAAATTAGTTAATTCGTCATCTTTCATTAACTATACTATTAATAAAATGTTAATACCATAATGGATGGTGTGGCATATGGTTTTTCTGAATTTGGTACTTCAGTTGGTGCTGATGTGCCTAATCCTTTGAATGCCTTATTGACAGCAGAGACCAAGTCTTCATGATTCACATTACCAGCAGCAGAGACTATTACATTTGGTGCAACGAAATTGGCCTTGTGGAATTATCTGATTTATTCTTCTGTAACATTTGGAATGTTATCTCTAATTCCTGCTGTTGGTTATCCCAAATAATGATCTCTATAATTTGTATAATGAGCAGCTTCAGCAACAACTCTGTATTAATCATTGATGCTAACTGATTCTCTATAGATTCCTTCTCTTTCTGCTTCAATTTAGGCTGGTGAATATAATGAATTTGTCAAAATGTCTCCTAAAAAGTTGACTGCTCTCTCTAATTCTGATGGCAAGAAAGTAAGAGTGTAAGTCTATAATTCTCTTCCCTATTTAACTTTTAATGCTCCTCCCAAGTAATCAATTTCTGCTTCAACTTATTCTCTTGATCTTGTTGTTGTTCCCTAATATAAATATGTATTCGTACTCTTAAGTTTAATTTTGAGATGAAATTTGAAACGCCTGAGCTTTCCAAAGTTTCAAATCTTGATCCTGCTTTCACAGCTACTGTAATTGAAGCTAATGGAGAATTGTATTATTCAGACACTACTCTAAGGCCAGTCTCCAATTGAGTTAAAGCTAATTTATAATAATCACACATACCTTGTGGTCTGTCATATTTTAAGGCTTCAGGAATTTCGCCTGTTGGCAATTCTCCAAAATCCACTAATGCTGACTTAGAGAATTGTAATTAGAAATTTCTTTCAACTTTAGTTTATTAGGCTGATGTTGCAGGGGCTTTCTTTCCTGATACACTCTCAACTGTACAAAATTAAGCCAATTTACGAAGAGAATGAAATCTATTCCTCAAAAACATATCTGAATTAATTTATTTATATTTAAATTCGATTGCCTTTAATACTAATTTAGAAATCCATTTTTGCATATATTTTCTTCTTAGAAGTTTGAATCTATGTTAATTATTCTAATTAAATAAAAACAATTTAGATATCGACACTATATCATCTCATTAAATATTCAATCCAATTTATTATGATAATTGTGATTATTAGTTAGAGTTTTATGAATTTATTTTTTTAATTCATAGATTCATTATTATTCCGATTTTGTAAGTTGATCTTCTTTTTCTTTTTGGGAATCTATCAGCATTTCAATTTATCTATCAATACTGATATCTGGAGGAGCTTCTTGCATGTGTGTTTTCGGGTCTACATCACACAAATACGTCTATTCAAGCTACTATAACCCTTAAAGAGCTTCTATAATCTGACCATATTCTAATTAATCATATTAATTATTACACTCCTATAGCAGTTAATTAATCTTTTTGCTTGCTGTTTGCTTCTATAATATTTTGTAGCCAACTGTTTTTAAGAAGCCATTGTACCCATGACTACATTTAGATTTAAAACTTGAATTAGTAGGTTGATCAATTAGATTTTTTTTAATTTGATTCAAGATGTCGGTCTCCTTAAGAATTCTTTGACAATATTTCTCATCCTATATTCTCGATTTTATGATAGAAGTCACATAGATTTGGAGTTAATTGTTCCATTGATACTTAAGGGCATACTCTATTAAACTTTAATATAGTTGTGCTTAAAACATGGACTCAAATAACAATGGGTTGTTCAATCTAATTTTATATTGAATTTTGTTACTTATCGCAAATTTCGAGAGCTTAAACAAGACATAGGTTCTTGAGTCCAAAGTTTTCTTAATCTTACAAATAAGTGACTATTAGTGGATTGATTTATTAGATTATCTATATTAAATCAGAGGTTTTCTAGTCTAAATACATGATGATTTGATTACCTTATAGGGAATTGACTTAAATGAATAATAGGATTTTAGAGAATACTTTATAAACAGAGAGCACTCCAGTTTTTTTCTATATTTATTGATTGTAGTTACAGCAATTTTAAAAAAGTAATATGGTTTTAATACATTGTCAAACAATTCTCTTAATGGCTCATATAACTTTTGCTGAATTCCCTATTCCAAAAGCAAATCAAATATTTAAGTGATGTCTGCTACCATCTATGAGGGATATTGATAAATCTATACAGTAATGTTATCGGAAAACTTGTCCATTTGGTGTATCATCTCTTCCAAAAGCTGTTTTCTATAATTCTTCTATGCTTATGTTGAATGAATACATAACATTTTTGGTTGATGTATATATTATCATTGATCTTGTAATCTAAAATTAATAGTTTAACCACAATTTCTACAATTTAATAATGGTTGATATGCTGGAGTAAATCACTTATTATGTTGTTGTTAACAACGATGTGATCCCAAAACTAAAAAGATGTAGGATGTAGTATTACTTCTCCTCCATATTTACTGGCTACAGGCTTTAATATCTTAGCATAATACCCCATAGATGTATCGTTAATGTTTGGAGTCTCTAAGTATTTGAAAAATGAATTTAATATATTCAACCTAACATTTTCATTCAGATGCATTCCTGACTTGGATTTGAAGGATGCGCACTAGACTATGATATTCGCATATACTAACTTGATGTTCCAGATATTCCAGATATTCCTCCTCCATTGTAATCTTCATCTTCTTTGCATTGATCCTCATGATGCATTTGATACTCTGGTAAAATATCATCTTCAATAGTAGTCTAATTTAGATTCTAATTAAAACCAGTCTTTCGTTGCTTAATAATGAGGATTGGGATTCATTTCGATGTCTTAAGAATAATAAATCAAACAATCTTGTATTTTCTATGGCAAATATTTCACTTATGATGTAAGGAAATTTTCGACTTTTCTCATTGTCATCCATCTACTCATTTGAAATCACAATGTAGTGAATCATCTTTTCCAAATTCTCAGGTTATTTCCAAACACTTATACTAATACTTTTTATTACAACTCAGTAAATGCATTCATAGCTCCAGCTTTAATGTCAAATAAGAAATTGTCTCTTTCCAACAATTCTTCCAAAGTCATGCTATTGTTTTTTAAAATGTTTTCCAATTCTTGAGATTAACCAAATGTTTGAAATTATGAGTACACTCTACTCGATAAATCTAATTTTCATACCCGAAGCTCATATATGTTTATAATTAAATTATCAATATTTTAAGAGAAATATTAAAATTTTATTTAATAATTTTAAAGCAATATTTTCAATTCTAATCCTTAATTTCCACTCAATTAATTTTAGAATCTTAATAACTAAGACAAAAAAAATTGCAATTAATAAATCTTTTGACTTAATTTAAATTACATACCCCATTTAATATTATAACTTCAAAGTTTTATTATTATTATGTAGTATAAGGATATTTAAAACTTTAATTTATAAGGATACATCTACATTCTATTTTTTTAAAAGAAGAACTACTTCGAATAATACAGTTAAATGTTGTTAATTTTTTTAAATACTCAATGAATACCCCTATCTTACTAACAATTATTAATTCAAAAGGACATAACCATCAATAACAGAAATTGAATCGAATAAAAAATCAATACCAATCAAATATTTAGATTTTATAATGAAGAATACAAGAACTATTTGTGGTTTATTATAATTTTGGTTCTAATGATGGTGATCTCGATAAAAAACCATTTCTAATCATGCTTTCATCTACATACTTAGTATAATATTTTTCAATTATCCTTTTGATAATAATTAATATATAATTATATTTAAGATCAATGATGTCCTCGACCTAATCCTAATTTAATTTTGTTCGCAAACCACTTCCCAAAGCACCAATTACTAGACAATTTAGTAGAGAAAAAAGTTAACCAATTTTTAATCCAATTACTCCATCTGTACAATAAATATTTAATAGTTAAGACTAAGTTTCGGATCCAAAATAATAATCAATTTTTAGGTAGAGATAAAAGTTAAAAAAACACGAACAATTTCTTTAACAATACTTCTGAAAGCACAAAAATTACTAAGGTATAGAATTAATCTTTGCTTAAAAAATACGATGCTGATTAAAAACAACTAATTTTTGATCGAGAAGATTTAGAGGAAGAACAGCAATTTAAATTACTCTGCTAAACTTTGGATCAAATGTTATGAGATTTTTTAATCAACAACAACTGTTTTTTTTAATTTGCTATTCTTTGTTAATAGTTTTAGTAGTTAAATTTTATTTTCTTAGCACTCTGATATCCCTTATACCTATGCTTGAATTTGTTTACTTATTTTTAGGCAATTTGAATTGTCTATAAGGCAAAATTTATTGTTTTATCTATTCTTTAATGTTGAGAATAATCACAATTTATTTACAGTCATCTAACAATAATGAATTTGAAATATTCCCCAACTTCTCTGACGAGATGAGAAATTTAAATTTTATAAATATAATTTATGGTTTTAGGATCGATACAATATTCTTTCATAGTGCCTTCTTAAAGAAAATAAAATTAAACTTAATTAAAAATTTAACTCATGACTGATCCTGTAATATTGAAATCACCAATCAACTAAAGAAAAGTAGTGTTCATATTAAATGAAGTACTCTGAGTACGAACCTCAACGTATTCTTGTAGGCGTAACAGGAGGGTCTGCAGCTGGAAAAACCACGCTTTGCGAAACCATCAAAAGAGAAATCCAATATGATTCTGATGTTGACATGACTATTCTTTCTTGCGATTCCTTTTATAAAGGCGTAGACAAATAATTTATTGACATATCTTAATATAACTTTGATCATCCAGATTCATTGGATTTTGATAATGCTTTTGAAGTGATCTCTACATTGTTGTAAGGAAGACCAGCTTCAGTTCCAATATATTGTTTTGTGAATCATAAAAGACTAGACTAATACTAAGTAGTGCTGCCTGCTCAAGTGATAGTTTTTGAGGGCATTATGGCACTTTATGATGAAAGAATTAGAGAATTAATGTCTTATAAAATATTTATACATTGTGATGGTATTTACTAATCCTATGTCTAGATGATATTCGTTTATGTCGTCGTATTTTAAGGGATGTCAAAGAAAGAGGAAGAACCGTAGAAAATGTGCTCTTCTAATACACTAAATTTGTAAAAAGATCATTTGAAAACTTCATTTCACCTTTGATGAGTCAAGCTGATTTAATCATCCCTGGACACAGATAAAATCACGTCTCAGTTGCTTTCATAGTAAACCACTTGAAAAACATGGCTAAACAAAATGGATTGCTCAGAGAAAAATTAAATACTCTCCTTTACTTTGGAGACTTGTTATATTCAATTGATGGATTCATGAGGAATAGAACCAAAGTAGACTTTTCAAATCCGAATGCCTCTTTTAAGCAGTTATTCTTTCCTGAAGAAAATATGAAACCAGATTTTCTTTATATCACATAAAACTTCTTGGCAGGTAAATTAGTTAGTGAAAAACAAATATACAAAGTTGTCAAATTATGCTTTAAATCAACTTTATTTATGCTTGAAAAATGCATATAATAAGATAAATATGAGATCGATCAAATTTAATGTGTACACCTTAAAGAGATTTTATCCAACAATTTCAAAATAAACGAAAACACTAAATTCCTGGTATTGGCTGTTCCCTTATTGTTCAAGAGTGGATTAACCTAATTACATTAAATTGAAGAAACTATCAAATAATTTTAAGAAGTATTTATTCAATTTATTTAGGTATAATTGATTGTTGTGAATGTGTTTTCTGATATCAAGACTATTACTGAAATTAATTGGGCTTTTAAAAAATTAAAAATATACATCAATGCCTTTTTAGTGGGTAAACTTGATAAGTTCATGTAAATAATGAATTTACCAGCAAAATCACAGCCAGATTTAATGTATGGCCAAGAAAAATTTTTTTAGAAATTGAATAGATTTATTATAAAAAGACAAGCAAAGAAGAATTGATTGATAATATATATTAAAAATAATATATATTAGATTTTTGCTTAAATTAAAACTGAGGAAACTCAGGAACTCAATTGAAATATATATATATCAAATATTAAATTATTCTGCAATTTGATGAAAATAAGAGTAATATAAACTATTTTTAATAATAAATTAATTTTAAATTAATTAGTTAGCTTAGAAAATAAGTTTAAACTAAAAATAGAACCACTTATCACTTAATCGTTGATCCATTTTAAAGGGTTATTAATTAAAACTGAAAATTAATTTTAAAATATAACCAGAATCCTTACCATTCTATCAAAACATCATAAATGTTTTTTAAAACATATTTTTTTAGGAAATAAGATCCATAAAAAAAATATCAAATTATTTTAAAAACAATGCTTCTAATTGTATCAACTGATATCAATAATGTAGTTGAAAAAATAAATATTGTATTTAAAAATATAATATTAGTTATTTTAATCTTTAAAATACAAATAACAAATAATTATTCTTAATTCTAATTAAATTATATATATTTATAATGATTACCCTTTGTAAAGCATTAAATAAAGGAAGGGTTCTCTAGTTCTTTTTGATGATAGATGCCTTAATAATTCATATGCAGTCATACTTTAGAGGTGACAATAGCTTTTTAATCATCGGCTTGGCCTTAGCAGGCTTTCATTTGATTATATTTTGTTTAGAATACATTTGTTAAAAGAGATTTAACTTAATCTTGATAATATTGAGTTTGATTAAAGGCATAGTGGTAATTGGAGCAAGCTATTTAGTGATGCCTTAATGGTAAATTTATACTGGGATAGAAATTGCTTTGATTATTCAACTGAATGAATAACATTCAAAATTAACATCATTATTTTTCTTCTTGACATGTATTACATGCATTTGTTTTGGAGATGTTCCCGATATAACAGTTGAGGTTTTGAGAACAATAGTGAATTTCTATTTGATTCTTCAAATTTATAGGAAAAATGAAAGTGAACAATTTACCAATATGAAAGGTCTATTAACTTAAATATCATCTGAAGAATTTTGCATATTGGATATGTAATACAAACCAATTTATGAATCTAAATTTTTTTATTCGATTTTAAAAGAGTAGGTTATGGGCATGTCTGAACAGAATTTGAGTAGAATATTTACACCAAGAGATTTAAGTTAGAATTTTGTTAGATAATCTAACTGTTCAGAAAATATTGCAACAAGAAACCCCTAATTGATTAGCGATATTATTGATTAATTAAAAAAGAAAATTCTCAAATTAGAATAAAAATTAATTTTAGAGCCAACCAATAGTTCCCTTTATTATCTTAGTATCTAGAAACTAAAAATTGAAAACTAATAATTTATATTGATTATCAAACCGAAAATAAACAACATTGAATCAACCAAACTATAATCTTAATAATCATAGGCTTAAGTTTAAACAATGATTAAAACCCTTCACAAAGTATCTCATGACATGAGAAACCCTTTGAATGCAATTATTAATATGCAATTGTGCTTATAAGAATTAATTGATCCTGCTTTATTCCAAAAGTTCTTAAAGCCATCATTAAATTCTTGTCATTTACTTTTAAATTTAATCAATGATATTTTGGATGCAGCTTAAATTGAAAATAAATCAATTAGAATTGTATGTCATAAATTTAATTTACCCAAATTAATTGAGAAGACAATTTCCCTTTTTGATTTATTAAAAGAAAAGAAGGGACTGAATATTACATTTAATTATGATCAAAAGTTGCCAATTAAAATCACATCAGATAAGTTACGTATTAGATAAATTTTCATGAATTTATTGAGCAATGCTGTCAAATATACATAGCCAAAAGGTTCGATCTTGATTGAATGCATTTTAAATGAATAAAAATCTCATTCAATTATTATTTCTGTTTAGGACTCTGGATTGGGGATTAAAAAGGAAAATCTTAAATAACTCTTCCAAGAATTCTCTAAAGTGAATGATAAAGAAAATTAAAATGCTAATCCATTTGGGATAGGATTGGGTCTTATGATTAGCAATGAATTAGCTAAATTACTTTCTTCAGGTCATTCATCAGGAATTTAGGTTTTGTCAGAATATGGAAATGGATCTAAGTTTTCTTTTGAAATAAAAAATGAAGAGTCAGCTCAAGAGGATATTTCAGATTCTCAGATATCTCATCATTTAGCTTAACAGATACCATCATCATTAGATTTTAAAATTTTATAAAATATCTCGCAATAGAGATCTCCAACAGTTTCAATAGCTATTCCCATGAGAGAAAGCAGCAAAAAAATGATTTCAAAAAAGAATCTTAAAGCTTTTAACTTTATGACCAATTCATTGAACTATTAGGTAACTCTGAGACATAGAAATGAGTCAGAAAGGAATCTATCTAATAAAACATAAATTTAAAATCGTTTAATTTAATGCTTATTATAAAAATGGAATGATTGTACTTAACAACATGCGCCTATTCTAATTGTTGATGATAATGAGTTTAATATTTTAGCCTTGCAGTATTTATTGGAATCATGTGGAATAAGCTCAGATTCTGCTATGAATGGAATAATATCGATAGAGAAAGTCAATGTAAGAGTGAGAGAGAACATTCCGTATTAACTAATATTTATGGATTTGGAAATGCCCCTTATGCTTGGTTTAGAGGCATCAAATCGTATTCGAAAATTGGATAAGAATGTTACAATAATAGCATGTTCTGGACATTAATTAACATCAGAAATAATTGAATAATTTAAGGATGCTGGAATATCATTTGGTGTTGAAAAGCCAATCACAAAGATAAAGTTAAAGGATTTGTTAATTAAACTATCCGACGGAATTAGATGTGATAGTTCATAATTTTCCTAGCCATTTTGATTAAATTTTTTTATATAAAATTGTATATACATAAATATCTAGTTAGTTCAGGAGAGCCCATAAACTTAAAAGTGAATTAGAAATCAAATTCTATTAGATGTTTAAGATTTTCGATCTAAAAAAACAATAATTATTAGAGGCTAGAAAAACAAAATATTCATAATTGATTTTAACTAAAATACAGATAATTAATTCAAAATTAATGGAAAACTGATTATTTCTTCTTCAACATCTTCCCCCATTTGGTACACAGGTACCATCTCCACAACACACACCAAATGAGTAAGGACAACATCCATATCTGTTTCCAACCTTGCAGCATGGCTAACTACCTGAGCAATAAGTCTTTGATTGTTCCGGGGGGCAATTATTGTCTGCAAAGGCTTTTCTCAAAATTTATTAGATTGCGCCATGAGTAAAGGGATCTTAAATTTCACGCTTAGGAGGAAATTCCAATGATTATGAAGTTGAAATAAAGAGTGAGAGTATTAAGAAGAGGGATATAAATATTTTATTCATATTATTATTTAGTGGTGACGTAAATATTTAATATAAAATTGATGATATAGTCATGACGTAAGCGGAATTTAGTTTTCAATCATCTCCTAAATAATTTCTCAATACTTGTTATCTTGCTTGCTGATCTCCTTGAATGTATTTCAAGATGTTGATGACGAAGACAATCATCTGATCCATCTGTTCTTTGAAGAAGATTCCGCAACTCATCATGACTAGTGCCCAACAAATTAATAGAGCCAAAAAACTATAATACCAAAATCTAGAAATTAAAGGTATGTCATCAAATTAATATGCCTGCGAAAACACTAATTAAATATTTAATTATACATATAGTTGAATTCTGTAAATCATAATATGTATAGTAGACTCTAAGGAAGGGCAATCCAAAAACAATGTCAAAGTTGGGTTTATATTAGTCTATTTTTTTATCATATATGGCAAAGTATGTCAAACATTTAAATTCGTACGTCTCAACATCATCAAGACATTTTTAGATGTACTGCTGAGGATTGAAAGTCAAAGTGATCTTTTAAGAATGTTATAAAACCACAAACTCTACTACAGGGAAATTTTGGGGTATAGATATTTATAACTTCGTAGAACAGATGAGAATGGTGTTGTTTCTATTTTGAATTGGATAATTAATGAAGTCACAGTCTATGTTATCATTCTTCTGAATGTGAAATTTAATGGCCTCTGCTATTTCTCTAGGCATGTAAATGAACTCAAAAGTTGAACTAATAAATGAAGTGTAAGGCTTGTGATTGCTTGAACTGTATATTATTGTGTCATTTTTATAAAGTGAGATTTGATTTACTCGAAAACACCATGTTTGATTGCATCCAGGGATTGCTTTTAGCTATTGAAATTCTGTTCCATTTTATTTAAACGATTCTTAATAATTCCCCAAAGTGATAACAGAATCTATAAATCCTTCCTGATTGCCAAAATACAATGAATAAGAGGGATGGCTTATCAAATGTTGATGAGTTAGATTCATAATGTAATTGAAGTTGCCTTTCTCAACTAAAGGGTATTTCCCCAATCCGATATAACCATCCAACATAGTCGACTGTCTAAAATCAATTGCCCCATATCCAGTGTAGTAAAAGAAGGAAACATCCAACCCTATATTTTCATTTATCCATAGACTGCTATTTAATACATAGAAAATATTTCCCCAACAATCCTCAATTTCTTTGAATTTGGGTTTGATGTATGAGATTATTAATTCAATTTAATCGTCTGTAGGTATTAGCTTAGTAAAATGCAGAGAATTGTTCAATTCTGTGATGAATATAAATGGCAAATCTACATCAAGAGCAATTTTATATTTCCCATCTTTCTCCACTCCATTGAAACTAGATATCAAAGTGATGCTCGTAAAGTATCGAAGTTGCTCGTCATCGTATAAAAATACATTTGAAGGGGATTGAAGTCCTTGATTCTTGCCTCCTGCTTATTCTTAATTGTAGAATGAAGATTCTTATGTATTAACTAAAGAGAAAAGAAATATTAAATTAATCATTAATTCATTTTGCGTCTTTGAATTTCTGGATAAGACTTATAACCGCATTTATATTTATTTCACTTTATTCTTTTTAAAATCAATGAAAATTTAAATCGTCGATTCTGCTGCCAAGATTTATAAAGCCTTTGATGAATCAGATTCCTCGAAATGTGTCAGATTTAAATTCTTCACTAATTATATGCTGGTAGAAAATTAAAGGCTTAAGATTTTCGATTTTTCTGAGACTGTCCTCTATTACGAAGACCATAAAAAGTTCATTATAGCAAGAATCAACGAGTTCACTAGTGAATTGGAAATTCATATTGCTGACAGTAGGGAAATCAAAGAAAACTTAGATTCAATCGACCAGGGCTTGTTGGAAATTTAAAGCTAAATGAAGGAAAGTATCGAAATGCAGAAATTCAAAAAAATTGTCTCAATTGACCTTAAGGATGATCTTTTCATCATAGTAATGACAGATCGATTGCTGACATATTGTTTGGCCTCATTGATTCGATGTTCAAGTGAAAAAGTTTCTCCTTAAGCAGAAGTATTATTCTATCCCATTCTTGTTTCTTTTAAACCTTATGTCTCAGCATACACATTTGATACGCTTTATCTGTTTTAAAAAATTGCTAGCTATAGGAGCAAGACGAATCAACTGATGATTAATTACAAAATCATAGATTTTAAACATTCTGATAAGCCTTAGTGTAATTAAAAAATATCATTCCAGAGCCCTTAAGTGGCTTAATCTACAGAAACCATGCTATCCTTTATAAAAAAAGTTAGAATTCAAGGCAAAAATTAACTTCATTTGAGCATCTGCACCTAATTTAAGAATCAAACATATATATAAAAAGTAGTCCATGAATTTGGAGAGACTTTAATCATTAAATAAAAATAATAATATTTTAAGCAATCTGATGTTCATTACATATAGAGTATCTCAAACAAAAGCAAAGAGAGTAAGGTATGGACTAAATGAACAAATAGAATGTATCCTATAAACTATGAATTTTATTCTGTTTTAAAATATATCAACAATTTCGGTAAAAATAATTAATTCTATTGATATCTTCAGAAATATATTCTACTTATAGATAATTAATAAATATTTCAATTATGGAATGAATAATGATATCAATAATAAATTCTTCAATAATAAATTATATCCATAATTTTCAATGATATTTGTCCATTTTTTAGTTTATCTCATCAATATAAGGAATATTTAAACATTTAATTTTAATCCAAATTTCCTGATATCTCAAAAATTGCTAATAAATTTTTATTTCAATTAAAGGTGTCAACTTAGTTGTACATACAATAATTTTCAAAAAGATTTTTAATTTTGTATAATGATAGGATTTCTTTTATGTGATATGTAATTTTTAGCAAAATAATTTAAAATACATATATCTTTTATATCAAAAATAACACTAATGTTAAATAAATATTATAATTTTCTGCCAATATTTTAATTATAACTTAAATAATTATTTATTTTATTTATTGATACATAGAATAGACTAAATAAAGAATTAGGAGACTTAAAAACAACCCTTTATCTGGTATTTCTGTGAGTGCTGATCCCAATGATCGATTAAAGTAACAAAAATAGTCTGACATTTAAAGATGCCATAATTGAAAGACCAAAAGGCTGTCGATGAAGAAGGAAAATTTGAATTCGATACTTCACAAAAAAAGTTTTTCATCTTTGTGTAACCGGAGACGGAGAAATAAGATCTCGATATTAGAAAGGAGAACGGGCAACATGCACTGTTGGTAGGATTTTACTAGAAATATAAAAAATGTTTATAGAATTGAATATTGACAATTTAAACTGTGTAGCATTCATATTGATTAATAGTAGATAGATGAGTTATAAAACTTATTTATATTTTTGATATTTACGATATAATAATGATTATTCAATCTCATCCTTAATAAGGTGGGTAATCAGAGTAGCCTTCATGATTTCCACCAAAATATTTCTTAGGATCAGAATCAGATAATTTCAAATTATCCTTGAATCTCTCAACTAAATCAGGATCTAATAATTAAAATAATAAATTACTTCCGATGTATAGAGTACCAAAGCTAGCTGCATCAAATAATCCTTGTTCTATGCCTTAGGCTGCTGTTTAGGCTGTCAATCCTACATTTCCAATAATAACACCCTTAAAAGAGGGTCTCAATAATTGTAATAGATTAGGCACTTATTTTTCAGATGCTGGGTGACCATAACCATATGCGTTCTCTTCATCTTTGCTATTCATGATTTCAATAAATGCAATTTATCTTTTATCTAATTCTTTGAACAAATAAGTATAAAGCTTAACGGGATCTTCATCAAACATGTCATTGTATCTGCCAACTGGACTTACTTTAATTCCTACTCTTCCTTTACCAAAAACTTGAACTAATTCATCAATAATTTCTAAACAAAATCTAGATCTATTTTCCACTGATCCACCATACTAGTCGTTTCTTCTATTTGTATAACTTCTTAAAAACTAATCTACTAAGTAACCATTTGCTCCATGTAACTCTACTGCATCAAATCCAGCCTTTTTGGCTCTATAGGCACCTTCTTTGAATTGTTATATCACTAATTTGATATCTTCTGTTGTCATCTCATGAGGTACTTCATGTGGTTATTTGACAGCGTAATTTACTCCATTTATAGCAATTGGAGATGGGGCCCATGGAATTTAACCACCCTATAAATTGGAATGAGTGGCTCTTCCACTATGCCAAATCTATAAAGCAATTCTTCCATTCTTCTTATGTACAGCATCTATAACTTTTTTCCATCCTTCAACTTATTCTTCACTTATAATGCCAGCACATCCTGGGAATGCATTAGATCTTTAACTTACTAAGGTACATTCAGTTAAAATCAACCCAGATGAAGCCCTTTATGAATAATAATCTGCCACTATGTCATTTGGAACCTTAGTGTCATTATTACACCTCATTCTAGTCATTGCAGCCATAACGATCCTGTTTGGAAGATTTAATTCTCCAACTTTCAAAGACTTGAAAAGAATAGATGTGTTATTCATAATATTAATATTTTTAGGATTCTTATTTCTGAATAAATAGTAGTTTTTTTAGGAATTCAGAAAATTAGAATTTTATTTATATTCATTAATTTTAATTCAGTATAAATAAATTCTCTATATATAAATCTTTCATCAGTTGCTTTTCTTCGAAACGTAATAATATTCCTTCATTATCTATTTTAACTCTTTATCATTTGGCAATTAATATATACTTACTTATGGAACTGGAGTTACATTTTCATTCCCATTTTTATTCTATTGATACTATTACAACCATAATAATTTCCTAGTATGAATATATTATTCGATTATTTTGGACATGAGTGGCTTATCGATTTGAATTACTTTGACTTAGGAGGTAGCAAAGAGATATGATCCATTGTTTTAATTAAAATACGTTTTAATCAATCTCCAAAATCTATCCTTAAAAGCACGCTTCTAAAACTTTTTAGTTTTAAAAACCTTAACAATTATTCTTACTACATTATACATATCATACCTTTAGATACCATCTTATGATGAGCAATCAATGCAGTTTAAAAAATGAGTGTTTTTTTCAAGAAATTAGTCGCTATTTTTTATGCTCTTTTTCTAGATTATTCTTACAAATGGATACTCATAGTTTTTAATAAAAGCAAGGATTTATTACTGCATCTGTCAAATGGGTTCTGTCCAAATTATTTGACTTCAATGAATAACTTAGCTTTCAATCTTAACACTATCAACTTAGCTTTTGCTTAAATTCTTAGCCTTCTTTTCCTTTCCTAAATTATTTAGAATCATTACATGTAAAATACTATAAATCTATCCACAAATTGTGATTAATTAAATCATTTATTGCCATGATTAACATTATTGTTATTTATCGAATTTTTGTTATAAAATACTCTTTTCTACTTTGCGAAACTCTTGAATTTATGATTTTACTAACATTTTAATGCTTCTTTCTTCTTATCTATCTTTTTCAATCTACTTTCCTCTTTGAACCACTGTAATTATCTTTTTTGCACTTACCTCTACATTTTATATTATTTTATTTATACCTGCTCCCCTTAAAAAATCTTTGAGTTTCTAAGTACTTTTATATCGAGATTAATCTAAATTTTGTAGGATTTTATCTTTCTTTGGTGACATACTTTTTTTATCTTCATCCCAGAATTTGTAGAATCTTGAGGGTTCTTATTACTTTGCACTCAAAATTGAATTATGGAATTCCCCAAAAACTAAATGCATGCCAATAATAAAATCTGATTCAGAATATAATGTCATATATATAAAATCCTCGGTAAAAAATTTAGTGCCTGATTTAGTTTTCACTTTAATTGATCTGCTTGAAGTTGATTACTCACAATTAAATTTTGTTGGAAACTCAACAGTTGTTGATAAAAACACTTTGTAAATATGATTTGTTATTTTATCTGGGAATGTAAAATAGATTTGCAAAGGGTTTAATTTGTTTTTCAATCTGGCTCTAAAATAATAGAATCTAAATCTGCAAATCTATATTCGATTGAGCTTCTCAGGATTTAAATCGCATAAATGTAAACCATCAACAACTTTCAAGATATTAGAAGGATTAATTTAAATACTCTCATATTTACCTGTTGATGGTGCTTCACAATGGAATTTTTCTGATTCTCTAACAACTCTAAAGTTATCTTCAAAATGATTATAAACATTTATTAGATTATCATTTAAAGGCAGTAGTCTTGAAATATCATCCATACTTCCATGAGTCTATTTCTAAGAAATCTTTTTCATTAGTTTTGCTGTGCCATTCTCTTCAGTCTGCTTATCCAATGAGAGAATGGATGACTATCTTTTCATACTGTTAATTCTAAAAATATTGAATTATCGATTACATAGTTATCGATTAGTTCATTAAAGATGTTTAAGATTGAGTTAGTTTAGAGGAACTTCTTTGGAGTAATCTATTTTTTATCATTAATTATATATATATAATCAGAGTAATTTTTTAATCTTACCGTATTTCTCAATTATTTATATCAATTCCTTTCTTTTAGGAAGTTCATACAATTACGGTTCTTTCAAATTGATTGAAAAATCTTTCATTTTCTAATTATTTTTTTTATAGATACCTTATGGAAATCCTTTTCAAAGAATTTGTTATTAATATATTCATACCATATCTACTTTTTCTATTTTGAGTATTCGTCAATCAACTAGTTTATGCAGATACTTAAATAATCACATCATATTATTATACATATCCATTTATTATACAGGTTTATCGTTGATATCATAAAAGGTTTTTTTCCCTTGTTATCTTTAGAGTTCATCAATAGTTTAATTAATGTTATCTTTTATTAGTTTGATGAATTTATCTCTGAAAGTCAATTTCTTTTGTTTCAAGCTTCTAAAATTCCTTTGAATCTAAATTACTAAAAATAATAATCTGCTTTTTACTTTTTTTTAAAGTCTTGTCATGTTAAGAAACTATAGTGACTGCCAATCTCATTTAAAGTAGATATCTGGTCAAAATTAAATGTGATTTTTGTTTAATCTTTTTTCTTAAATTGATGGCTATCATTTTCAAAGCAATACAAGACTTAGTTATTGTTCTTTCCTTAGTTGAAAAACCATATTCCTTTGCTGAAATTAATGCTTTAGTCTTAATGGTCCAAACCAATAATTTGCCTCTTGCTTAAACTTAAGATTTTCTTTTGCTCTCCTGAAATATTTAAATAAATCAAATACTTTTATCACATTATACAGTGTATCAATAAAAAGGATATACTTTATTATTCTACCCCAACTTAGTGATACCTTATATGCATAAGCTTTTCTAATACTAAAAGAACGTTCTATCTCTCTAAATTAAGATATCTACTCCTATAGGAGCAATCTAGTTCTTATAGATTATTATCTTTCAGTCTAGTAATTTTTTTTATTTTACTATACTAATTCAATTTTTTGTCTTTTTAATTTGGAATGGTTTTCTATTTGTAGTTTTCTTTTTTCTAATTCTTACAAGAATGTTTTTTGTTTATTAAGGTAATCTTAATGCAATTCTTTTCTTTTTTGGTTTTAGTGTTCTTCAATCTTTTTTAATCTCTCCTCTTTTGTCATACCTTAAAATTCTTTGCCTATCATTGTTAATAGAGTGCTTAATTTAGATTAAACTGGTTGTATTTTAATAAATTTTCTTTTATCTGAATTTTCAGTTTAAACTCTACTGCATTCTGTTTCTTTTTCGATAGAAGATTAATAGATGTTTGATCTGATTTGAGAGAACCCCTTCTTCTCCCTTCTTCTATCGGGAGTCTAGATAAGTTTTGCATTTTCGCTTAGGACCATCTTAAATTGAGGTGATCTTGAATTATTTTAACGAGAGGGGGTTTTTTCAGTATTCAATTATCCGAAATGCACTGATATCTTTAAGATAAAATCAATATGAGAATAGAAGGTTAGATAAAGGAATTCTTCTTTGAAATAATGTGCTTGAGGATTACTTGAATAGACTTTTGCATAATTACTTTAGATTATTTAATCTGCATTGAATTTAGTTGGGAATTCAATTTTAACAGACAGCATCAATTTAAATAATAAAAATGATAATGATTCTGGTAGTTGTAAGTGAATGTGAATTGGTGTAGGCTTTTCTAAAATTCTTAACCTGAAATAATAAAATTAGTATCTATCAATTTAAATTTGATTAACTCCATTTTGATCTAAGTCTGATAACTTTAAACCATCAAATGTCTTTATTAGTTAATCATTTTATTTTTTGAATTCCACTGATAAATTTTCTTAAACAGTTTTAATTCTGCCAAGTGAACCAAGTCCTTAATAATTTTGCTCATATTAATTATACAATTCTAAGATTGCACCTTCCACTTTTAAAAAAAGGTTGTTCTCTGATCTGTGAATATTCGCATTTTAAGCTTTAATTTTTTCAAATAATGTATTCGCTCTGGACTTACTGTCTTACTATTCTGAGACTGAAACTTCACTTCGATTGCTTTTTAGGAATTCCTTATTGGGGCTCTTTAATTTTTACCCGCAGTAAAATCTTTGATTCTACATAGTGCTTAAAACAGCACTTTGGGAACTTGACTTTCTCATTTAATCTGAGTTTATCATATTTAATATATCATCATATTCTCAAATCATTTTTTTATTTTTTGCATAAAGCTCAATTATCTCAGCTACTTCATTAATTTGCGGCAGTTGGAACAGTTTAGGTTCTTAAAACTTAATCAAGGCTTTCCTAATCTCATCGCTTTTCCTATCATTTAAATAAAGATCCAGTTGTTTGTCATGGATCTTTTGCCTTATAAACCCCAGCCATATCAACTTTTGTCTTTAATAATAATTATCAATCTGGAACTGCATCATTTGATTATCTATTTGATTAGCATAAATTTATTTTTAACTCCTACTCCTAGATCTTTGATTACTTTGATTTAAACTCCTAATGATTTCTTTGTAGTTGAGCATCACTAATTGCCAGAAATCCTCATAATATTTTTTTTTCTATCTTTAGAAAAATCTGAACTTGTTCTACAAAATGATTACTAGATGAAAATTAATGAATTAATACCATAATGTCTGGTCTTGAGTAGTCTATGTCCTAAATGTATAATGGAAATACATTCCCTTATAAAAGAAGTAGCAATTGCTTCAGCCTTCCTTTTTCTTGTGAATCTAATTTAAGCAGTAAACATTTGAACTGCTAACAGACTTTTACAAAAAGATCTTCTCTCAGGAGTAGGTCCAAACTTTCTAATGTAAATCAATAAATTTAATCCACATTTTAAAGCCTTAATTCTTCCATTCGCCTTAACACTCATCTGAGCTTTAAATTACTAATCATATTGAAAACTATCTTACTATTAATTTGGTTTTAAGCTAAGCACAAAAGTTAATTAAATTTACAAGTTGAGCCCAAAACAACTCTCCCTAGATCTTTTTATTTAGTTTTAATTTATAAATCTTTTCAAAAAATCTATAATCGTTTCTTAACATCTATGCACTATATTATGTTTTCAACTTTATCTTTTATTCGCATACGATCTCCTACTTTTTTAACAGAACCTACTTTCTTTTCTATTCTCTTTCAGTCTATTTAATATAAATAATTAATTGTTTACAAGTAATCCAGCCAAGAGATCTGTTCTCCGAGTCAATTAAAATGAGCTTGTATCAAGATTCCTTTTGATTAAATCAATTTTTATGTTTGTTATTAAACCAGGAAATTTAGGATATTCTTTTTTTATTATCTACTTTTAGGGTGATTTGCTTTGCTAGACTCGACCAAATGTTATCTTTATTTTTACAACTACATCAATTTCGGTATAAAAGGTTATGTATAGATAATTTTCTTAAAATGTACTCTCATGCCCACTAGTATAGATCTTACAAAAATTTGAAGTGAGATTGTGTTCTGCATTAAATTTAGTCGGAAATTCATGCTAAGTAGAAAGATATAATTTGTATTATGCAGAATTTATTTGATTTTCAAATTAAATTGTAAGTAATAAAGGAGATTATTATTTCGAGATTGAAGCTCGGAAGTAATAAAATTTAAAGCGATTTATATGCAGTCTCTGATTCAACTCTTAATCAATATCACAGAACTACAAATTTGCGATTTTTGTTTCAGCCTAAGAGGGATTCCTAATTGAATTTTAGGATATGACTTGAGGCTATTGAACTTAATCGTCTGACTTCATATCAATTGAGATATTGAGATCAGTTTTAATCTTCTAAACAATTTTGTAATTATTCTCAAATTCATCATAAAGTTCCATGAAAGAAGCTGGTATGGCTTAGATCTGATTCTATTCCTTTTTAACTTGTCTGATCTCATATTGAGTTGGAGTTTAATTTAATACTTAACTCGTGTGAACATATGATATAGATTAAAGAGTGCTTGTTGTAAAGAAGCTTAAAATACATTTAGAGCCTACTTTAATTTTCTTTACGAATTAAGAAAATATGTATTGCTGCTTGGAGTTGAAACTGCTTGTCTATGACCTTGAGTCTTGAAAACGGTTTGCTGGGACATTGTAAAATATTAAAATAAGTATATTCATATTAACTTTTTAATCAAAGCATACCATTCAATTAGATATATTAATTCATTAATTAATCTCAAAAACACCTTATGTTGTTTGATCTAAATTACAATAAATCTTAATTTGTAGAATGAAGATTAAGATAAAAATGGATTATCTGTGTGATTCACTATTGCATTACTTGTGAATCAAATAAATCAAAGGTTTTTTTGGCAAAGAAATTTTCAAGATTTTGTTTTGCTTTATTTTAAAGATTTCTTAAATTTGAGAATTAGAATTAATTCTATTCTATTCTCAACAATGAATCGTCTTAATTTTATTACTCATTTAAATTTGACCTATATCTGATAATCATTTATATCACTTTAGGCATTCTATCTTATTAAGAAATCACTTAAACTAAAATTAATTATTTAAACTTAAGTCATCTTAAATTTTATTGTTGTTCTCTCTTGTATCACTTTTCAAACCCAATTTTGATTATTCATATATACTATTTGATTATATGTCTATTCTATTTGAATGTCAACAATTAACTAATTTTAAATCCATAAGCTAAACAGTTATGAAGTAAGATTTTGTTGATTTTGTGAAGTTATCATAAAAAAATCATAGACTAATCAGACTAAATACTATATAAAAGGGGTTTATTTAACCATATTAGGGAATACTATATTTTATTAAAGGTTTTCTCCAGTTATTATAATTTTGAGTTCAAGAGACAATATTTTTTAAATATTTCAAATACTCTTTATTTAAATATTTCATTTAGACTCAATTAGAAGCACTCTTGTTAGCATAAAATTTCATACTAATTTTATAAAGCCTGCATATTTTATCATCACTTTTTTATATTAGGTAATTATTTTATTAATTGGTGTTTAATTTTTTTAGAGGATTTATTAATTAAAAGGATGCATTTTAGATATTAGTTTCTCAATTACGAAATATATCTAAATGATCAACATAAATCTCATTTCATGAAAATATATAAGTGAGCGTATTTTGACTAAAAAATGTCAAATTTTAGTTAAAAATGAAAGGAATTCCATTTTTTACAAATTCATTTTAAGATATCTAACATCTTCTTCCATACATATAAATATAAAGCTTAATGATAATGTGATTTTAATCTTAATCTTTTTATAACGATGACTTTTGATAAGAAAAAACAGAAAGTTAACTAGTTTCATCCATTTTATATACATATATATAAAGTAATTTCATATCTATTAATTTTAATAGTGAGTTAAGTTAAGGAAAACACTTAAATCGCTACCCCATCTAACTGACTTTTAACTTTTATTAGAGCTGCTTATCTTAGAATTGATAGATTTCAGAGAAGATTTGATTGGTTATTTTGTGATTGACATAGATTCTGGACCAGGTTTGTGAGAAGGAGTTCGGCTCTTTACTATCTGTCTTTTAGTTTTTTCATTAACAAAACTCAAAGCTCTTCTGCTTGATTTAATTTAAGGGAAGAATTGATCTGGTTCAATTAAATCCAAGTTAAGGAGAGGAAGATAATTACGTGGTGGTGATGAGTATGATAACTCAGGAATTTCGGCCTTCTCCTTTTTATAAATCTCCTTAAATATAGCTCTATGACTTGTTTCCATGATTCTTTGAGATCTTGCAGATTCATCACTAATTTCTGGAGTTATAATAACTTATGTCGCTTAACATACATTTCCCATTTAAATAAATATTTTAATACATAGTATTTAATCGTTTTTGCATAAGACTCTATATTTGAAATCATTAAACTTAAATCTATTATTCTTTAATGTAGGTGAATATCTTATGATGATTTATGAGATATGGTATTCTTATTTTTATTGTTTTTCTAAAAATATAGTGGAAATAAACAAAACCTTAATTTATTTCAATATTAATATATGACTAAATATAGGTCTATATATTTTATTATTGTTTAATGTTAAATCATAAACTTTTCAATTTGTCTTTTCTAAGTTATTATTCGTTATTATCAAAAAGAATACTTTTAATGCTTATAAAGATGAGTCAAATAAAATTCAATTCTTAAATGTAGTTTGAAATTCTTCTTTGGTGGATGAAGAAACAGTTAAGCAAAAACTTGATGGTTTTTAAGTATAATAAATTAAAAATGAAGATGAAAAACTTTGTATTTAAAGATACAAGAAGATATTAAAATATTCATCTATTAATTCTGAATTTTTCAATTTCCAAAATTTAAACTATCCTGAGACAGTATCAGACTACATCCTTTTAAAGAGACATTAAAAAAATCCTCATTATTCTCTGGCAAGCTGTAGAGAGTTGGAGAAGGTTTGAGTGATAGAAGCTCAAGTTGTTTTTATTATATAATCATATTATTCATATTTTATTAATTTTTAACTTCTAAGATTAAGCAAAATTTTTTTTTAATAATGACTCTAAAAATTTGACTGATTTCTATTCAACAGGTATCTTTTTTGCCTGCTATGTTGACACATCTTAGACGGTTTCTGAATTTGCAATAGACTACTTCACTTCACTATATTATTTTTAAACATCTGGATTTTTATCTATTGGAGCAACTTAATCTTTAGGTTATTCTCCATTCAGATATCTTTTCAAGTTACTTCTTAACTTGTCTTCCTCATCTGATGATAGATTGTATTTTAAATATTTTCTTATTTAATTCGCCTCATCTGTTAATTCGTCAAATGTTTTTATTCTTGTGTATTTTTCAATTTCAAGAATTTCATTTCCTTTTAGTAGTGAGAATCGAGTTTTTAAATTTTAGGTATTTTATTTTGGGGAAGATTAATGGGAGTCACAAGGAGAATCACCTAATTATTCAGGTTCAAAAATTTAAATAACATCATAATATGGTTTTTTCAGTTTTTCTTCTAAATTAAAAGGCTTGGATACGTAATTAGATGGTTTTTCTCTCAACTTTGTGTAAGGGGATTATAATATAAAAACATTCTTTGCTTTTAATTTTTAATTTGCTTTATGCTTCATCTTCTCAATAATATCAAAATTAAAAATTGTTTATTTTCTCTCTATTTTTGTTTTATAATCTTTCTTAGCTTATTAACTAGCTTCTTTACATCTTCTGCTTATCTCATCAATTAAAGATTTCTACTGAAATTCCATGTAAGGATTAACCCACCATTATTTATGTTGAGTGAACTGTTATAAATATTTTGTGTCAGGAAACAGACAAACAGGGAAATTTTCTCCAATATACTCTGGAGAAGGACGATGAATTCCTAAAAATACATCTATTTGATTTTATTTTTAAGGATCTTCAATATTATTATTATAATGTCTTTTCAAAGAAGTAAACAATTCTATTCGTTTAGATTTCTAGCCAATATTTTATTTATGAGCTAATGAACTACCATATTATTATGAAACAAAGTCACCTAATTATTCATACATCTCTCTAAATTCTTGTAGGATGGATTCATTTAATAGAAGCAAATTAAATTTCAAACTACTCTGATTAATTTTAGCCAATTGAATTCCAAGTGCCATTTCGCCTATCAATTATTAAAATGCATTTGTTCTATCTAAACAATCAACACAATTAGACCTTACAACTCCATTTTAGATTTCGATAATAACATTCTCATTACATTTAGGTTCTTTTACAAATAGAAATACTCCTGTTTTCATAATACAATAATATGCTAATGAATAACACTTATTGACAAACTCCTCTTTATCCTGTTTTAATTACGCTTTCATATCAAATCCCAAATATCCTATTTCTATTTCTGTTTGATTCTACATTTCCTCCTTAACAGTATTGATGGCTGAAAAATATTCTTCAGCTAATACTTGTTCTCTTTTGTTATGCTCATTCTACTTAACCAAATTAACCATATAGATTTGTCTCCCATATGAGGAAATCAAGTCACAAATATGTTTCTTAGTTGCGTATAAATAAGGGTCACTTTAAGGTATTTTAATCGGTAATTTAAATAAATACATCTTTGGCTCTTGATACCAGTAAACAGGAGCAGAACCTCTGATTTATATGAACGAGGAGCAAGCTGGTCTTTAACATGTTGATTTGTCTAATTCAATTACAATTTATTCTGTTTCAACAAAATTAGCAACATACCCTTATTCATTGATACCTCGAGTTAAATAACGAGCACCAGCATGCCTTGTAGATCTCCTAGCTAATAAAGTAATGCTAAAGTAATTAGCAACTGTTTTAATTGTACTTTATTCACAATAACCATGAATAATTGGAATCACCCATCTCTTATCTTTAATAATTTTATCAAATTCTGCTAATAGATAATGATTCCACATAAATAAATTTCGATATGATCCAATTTGATGATACTTTTGATTCTTGTTTTGAACATCTTCAGATGGAATGATGTTTTTTGATAAAGAACTTGTAACATCATAAGTATAACTACTATAGAATCCAATTTCTAGATCATAATCCTACAATAATTTTTTATATTTTGATTCAACTGATGAATATGGCCCATCAAACAATTCCACTATTTATCTTTCTTCAATTGTGAAAATTGTGTGTTTACCCAATTTTGCAATAGATTTACGCCTCTTTATGAACATTACATAATATCCTTATACTAATTTTATGAACCCTATTATTCCTGATACTGTATAAAGATATGTTAAATTATATTTTTATAAGTATTATTTTGCATCTTCAAGTGTCTCAAATTAGCGATCCTCTTCTTAAATGTATTGTTTTAGATCTTTCTGTTGAAGATCGGCCCCTTTAAGAATATTTAGATGTAGAATGCAAAATTGTTATGATAGAGTATGATTGCCAATTAGTATATATTTCTAGATTTATGCTATCAATTACCTCTTTTTAATGACTCCGGAAAACTTAAATATTCTTAAATTTAATCTTCTACACATCCCATGGGTATTCCAAATTCATAATAATTTATTTATAATTAGATAATTACTAAAATGAAGAAAAGGAATTTTAAAGTCGTTGTAATTGGTGATAGTATTGATATTTTATTTAATGGTTAATCTTGGGTGGAGTTGGTAATCAACAATCATTTCGGCTCTAATTAATGAAAGCCTTAATATGAACACTCATGTTGATTAACATATGCCTATTCAATTACCTCCAGAAATGTTCAATCACCCAGAATGCAATACTATTTTGATTGATACAAAAAGTCAGCCTAACTAAATTCCAGAATAAGTTAAAATAGCAGATGTCATTCTCTTAATGTACTCAATTGATAATGATACTTCATGTGAGAGATTATAGAATTTTTGGTTCAAGGTATTGAAAGAAAAGGAGTTTCAATAGCCAATTATAATAGTAGGTAATAAACTAGATTTGATCGGACTTGATTGTGATAGAGAAAATTACAGAGTTTATAAATTGATTAAACAATTGGTAAAGGATTTCAGTGTAATACATCTATATAATATAGTAAGTTGAAATAGGAATAGAATGCTCCTCAATTAAGTTTTAGAGTGTTAGGATGTAATTAACTGTGCCTAAAGAGCTTATTTATACCCTTTGTCACCCTTGTATAGCCTAGTAACCAAATAAATTACAGAGGGCTTCAAAAAGCATTGACTTGTATTTTTCGAATTTGTGATGAGGACGGAGATGGTGTATGGAGTGATCAAGAATTAGAACAATTTTAAAAGAAAGTGTTTAAAAGGCAACTAAATAAAAGCGATATTGCAGGGATTAAGGATATGATTGAAGAGGAATTGAAAGATGAGTCAAATAAAAAAATTTTATTACTTTGCAAGGCTTCATGGTTCTAAAAAGATAGGAATAGAATTGATGAAGATTTAAATTAGTTGGACCATCATTTGCTTTTTTATTTATAAAGATTATTTAACAATTGATGATTCGATATTTCAAGAAGAGTATTTAATTTGCTAGAAACTTTCGATTAATAATAGATTAAGATGCTGGGCAAACAGCAGAATTAAGTGATTTTGCTTTATAAAAACTAAATCAATTTTTGACTTGAATGCTTCTACTCTTACTCAAAATTAGTTTGGCATTATTTTCTATCCTGAAATGTATCAAACTAGTTTTCCTCTTCTCGAATAATATCATCCTCAATCACAAGATATTGATTTAACTTAATGGTTGGCTTTGTGGAAGTATTTTTGAAATCCTATTTTAGAGCATTCTCTTTTCTTAATTATAGAGATACTTATAAATTATTAACTTACATTGGAATTGATATTAAAATGTCAGATGCTTTTAAATTAGAAAATCTTAGAAGAATAATTGAATAATATATCACCTAGAATAATACAATAAATTCGAAGACTTATGTGATTAGCATTTAAGATGAATAATAGGCAGAAGAGTAAATTGAGAAAAAGAGATTGAGCATAGTTGATTTCTTAATTATTGAACATTCTTGTTGTTTTTCAACATGTTAGCTTTTTCCATTTATAATTTTTGATGAGAATATTTCAGTCTGGACATAATTTCTAAAATTGCAGAAATTCTGCATCCCCTAAGATACTTTTATTATTAATTAGATCTTTTGGATATTCGGATATCCAAATTTAATAATTATAATATGATAGCATTTCTATCTTTTAATTAGCAAGTGGATTAGCTCTTCTTATAGGATTATTAAGTAGTGGATATTATTATTTCAGAAATTAAAAATTAAAAAAATGAAATGAATTTAATATTATATTTTTAATTGATTAAATAGTTAATTCATTTTTTTCTTATTTGTGATTCCCTTCTTTCGATCTATGTAGTTCGAGTATGCACTTAAAATTCCTTGTTTACATATTGAAGATCTTCAAGCATAAAGATTTGATGATGCAGATGAGGTTTAATTAATATTAACTTATTCATTATTTGCTACAATTCCTAAATAAAGCTAATCCACTCTCCGATTTCTAAACCATTTCTTTTTCTTCCAGTTTGATAAACTCGAATATAGCGATCAAATAAAGCCTAGGCATATTGAATTACATGCAATTCATTATATTAGTAGTTGTAAAATGAGCATAATTCTTTGACATATTTTTACATTCTTTCTCTTTGTAAATTCAATTCAATATCCACATTCTTGAAGTCCTCAATCAATTTCTTTATGTGGTGTTTTCTCTTATCACTTTCACATTACATAATGTAGACAAAGATTTAAATAATTGTCTATTAAGAATTTGATACTTTTTCTGAATAATCCAGAAATATTGAAGCACATAAATCACCCAGATTTTAAATAATAAAATTGTACCATTAGAATTTATTTTAATTCTGAATTTGTTCTTCTTAGTTAGTCTAAACAAGACCTGAATACAAAAATCTTATGCGATCATAAGTCAACAAATCAATTTCTATATTGTTAATGTCAAATTGGAAAATAACGCCGAAAAATATACAAAATTATCTATTGAATTTTTCTACTTTGTTTAATTAATTTAGATCACCCATCTCTAAGTTTTAACTTATATAAGCAATGCAATTTTGTAATTGATTTAGATTATCATTTTTAGTTAAAAAATGAATAAAACTTTCAGCATTGCTTCTCCTTTCATAAGTGCTTATTTATTCCAATCTCTATTAAGCTGGGTGAGTACCAAATTAAGGTTTCATACATTCTTAATTAAACCAATCAATAAGCAATTATTAGATGCACTTTTCATCTTGCTAATTGTATTCAAAATTAATATCCAAATACTAAACAAAAGGATGATTGAAATATTCGGAAGCTATAATACACTGCTTAGTATTTAATGATTTTAGTTAATATCTATTAATCAACTTCTATGCTTTGTTCATTTGACTATCCTTATCCATTTTATGTTATTAGACAACAGACTTTAATGTCTAATAAAGTTAAGTATCTCTGTTACTAATATTCTCCTCGATTTTATTCAATATCTTATGAGTGTCTTTGAGATTGAGTTCTACATCCTTGAGACTTCCAGTAGCATTTTCTAAAGTACTTTATGCCTCTTGATTTTATTTGTAATCATTAAATTCAACTTTTGCCATGTTCAATTAATAAGTTAGATTATTGATTTCTTGTTTGTGTTAATGAGTTAATTTATTATTTAATTCAGAGACTTCCATGTATTTATGATAGATATCTTCATTCTATTATTTTAATTGCACAACTTCTTATTATAATTCATTTAATACTTCTTATTGGATATATTCTTATTCTGCTTTTCCATTTTGTAATATCATTTCTATTGCAACAGATATCAATTTCCAAGCATTTTCGATTAGTCTTGCCAAAGTCATATCTCTTTTGGCAATAGCAGTTAACATCATATTGATGAACTCTTGCATTTGGTGCTCGATTTCAACGGCAGTTCTACGATGTGCTTTTTTCAAGTTTGAGCGTTCGAGATTGTTGGCATTGATATATTGATGTATTCTTTCGATGGTGTTGCTTAACATCAATAAAATCTCTTAATAGATCTCGTCGATTTGGGCTGAGGATTATTATTTGTCCTGCACTATCATTCTGTTGATTTCCAAGTTCTTACGCATTTTAAGGTCGATTTCAAAAAGATTCATAAGTTTTTCATGCATTTCACTATCATCCATTTCCATGACATGTTTGAAGAGATCAAATCTGACATTGCTTTGAGAATTGTTTCTTTTTTTAATGCTCTTAACAGTCTTAATAGATTATTAAGATTATTAAACTGATAATCGAGAAGGACCTCTTAATTTAACAATCTGAAATCCCTTGAGGGGAGTGTATTATTCAGTATTTGACTGACTGCGATATTTATAGAAGTTGATATCAGAGAATACATCAGACAATATTTGATGTTTATAAGTGCTTTGCTATAGAGATTTCATTGTTTTTGTACTCATATTCATTTTATTTCACTTTAATAATAACATCAATTTTTCAATAATCTCACTCAAATTTACATCCGATTCTTGGCATTCCCAAGGCACTTGGAAATCCTCTCTAACAAACTTCTTTTCCACTAAGTCTTCGATTACATAGAATTTGATTTATCTCTTATTTTCCAAATCTATTTCTATAGAATCTAGATTTCCTTATTTATCAAATAATGCATATGCTTTGTTTTTTCCTTATAAAAGTGAACTTAATTCAAATCTAGCTAGATCATCATCTCCAGTGCCCATATAGAGACTCATCAAATGGAAGACAACATCAGGCTCCAAGATGAATGCATTATTTCCAGATTGTAGCTACAATTTATTGGAAAGGTTTGGGCCATTGAATGTTTAACATTTGAGTTGAGGTGGAAATGAATGATAATAATTTAAGTATACCTTATTTGTAGTAAGATTGACATAAGCATTGGCGACTTCTCCAATTTTGTCAATTGATAATATAATGTGAGAGCTTTCCAATTTTGTAGAATAATCTACACTCAATGTATTTGGACTACTAGTTCTTTATGTGCCAAAAACAACGTGAAAATCATTAGGGATGTGAACGTATGGGGCATCAAAGTTAGCAAAAACATTATCTAATATATTTGCAAAAGCTATGTTTAAAAGTAAATACAACATTAAAATTAATGAAATAGAGAGAGAAAGAAGGTTCAAATGAAAATCTTAGAGTTGTAATTAGAATTCGTCCTCCAATGGCAAGGGAGATTAAAGATGGCAAATTCATATCAACTGTAAAGTTATGATTGATAATTTGAAAAGGTCCAAGCGGCTCCAGATAATCAATAACTTTGCATTTTCGATTATCATGCAATAGAGCTAGTACCTGATGAGGAATTGGAAGCATTTGTATAAAATCCAGCGAATTACACCATTCATTAATTTACATTTGATTATGTATATGATTAAGAAAGCACCTAAGTGGAAGTCTATGAAACCACAGCTGCTTTGTCAGTTGATTCGACACTTCAAGTATGAAATGAATAAGTATTCAAAAGGGATATAACTCAACCATTATGGCATACGGATAAACAGGAACTGGAAAGACATACACAATGCACGGATTCTCATTTACACCAAATTCTGATTAATTGGGTATCATCCCAAGATCATTGCATAACATCTTTACACATATATAGATGAAATCTAATTCGATGACAACATTTATGGTGAGAGCATCATATTTATAAATCTACAATGAATCTATAAGTGATCTTCTAAGACCAGATCATTAATAATTGAATATCAGAGAAGATAAGAAAAGAGGAGTTTTTGTTGAGAATCTATCAGAATGGGCAGTACGTTCTCCCCCAGAAATATATCAATTGATGAGAAGAGGTAATGCCAAGAGAGTAACAGCAAGTACGAGAATGAACGACACATCTTCAAGAAGTCATGCAGTTTTTATCATTACAGTTGAATAAATTGAAGAAACACCAGAAGGAAAAAGAGCAAGAGTTGGAAAACTAAATTTAGTGGATTTGGCAGGGAGTGAAAGAGTTAGAGTCACTGGAGCAACAGGTATAAGATTAGAGGAGTCAAAAAAGATTAATCAATCGCTATCTGCATTAGGAAATGTTATTGCTGCTTTGACTGAACTAAAACAACCCAAATCACATATTCCTTATAGAGATTCTAAAATAACTAGATTATTAGAAGACTCACTTGGAGGTAATTGCAAGACTACATTTATGGCAATGATATCACCAGCTATCGAAGCCTTCAACGAGTCTCTATCAACATTGAAATTTGCAAACAGAGCTAAAAATATAAGAAATACTCCTATGGTTAATTAGGATTAAGATCAAGGAGCCTTGCTTAGAAAATATTAACTAGAAATCTAGAAATTAAAATAAGAATTAGATGAAAGAAGTTAAATGCCAATTGACTCAATGGTAGCTGAATTAGAAAAAGAACGATAAAAGGCTCTAGAAGATAAGCAAGAAGTGATGAGTGCATATGAATAAAGAAACAGAGATCTGGTTTAGGAAAGAGAAATGAGAAAGCAATTGGAAGAAAAGATATCAGCCTTGAATTCATAAATGCTTGTTGGAGGGTAGAAGATTGAAGAAACCCCTTAATTTTAGAATGCCCTAGAAAAACAGCAAAAGTTAATTAGGTAATAATATCAGGAGAGATTACAAGAATTGGAAAAAGAGCGGTAGAACATTGAAGAGGATAAGGCTCAAACAGACAAATATAAATAATTGTTACTCAAATAGAGAGATATAATGATCGCCTTAACTAACAGATTGAATGAAAGAGATGAAACAATACTACAATTATAAGAGGAACTTGATGCCTATGATAAACTACAAAAGGAACTAGAAGATATCAATTAGACTAAAGAGTCTAGAATACAATAATTGGTGGAACTTCTTAAATAAAAGGAAGTGGAAATCCCAATGAATTTAGATTTACCAGCCAATTCTAATAATAATAATGCAAAATAACAGTTATTATTAGCTGAAATGCCTTCCTCCAAAACTGATTTTAGTTGCTGATCCCTCTTCA